TTGACACTTTTAAACGTGGACTTAAGACCTACCTATTCAACACAAATTAATTCCTCATCTTCATACCTAATTTATAACCACATGTCCTATCTTCTGGTTATTCATTCATCATCCAAAGTACATAATTATTGCAGTTTCATTTATGCTACTATTGTATTTTCATTATCATGTTACTGTTAATACACTGTTAGTCAAGTAAGAGCGTTTGTTTCGTCTAAATTAAGCAAGTTCAAGTTTCAAGTTTCAAGTTTTAAGTTTATTTGTTTCACATTTCACAAAAAAGAATTCACATAATTGACAAGATTAGAACATTATATGAAATATACTAAAAGTGTCACAATATATAATTAATTCTTTGAAAAATTGTCGAAAGTAATTGTATTGAATAGAAGGTTATATAGGGTGAAATGTGAGGAACCTATTAAAAAGCTCAGCTTGTAGAATATAGGTTCCCATAAATAAAACTAATATTCATTTCACGTTTCTTGTTGATGCTTTATTATAGATTAATTTTCAATTCATTTGTTTTGTAAAGCACTTAGAAACTATTTGTGTGTACCAGCGCTATATCAATCTTAGATATATATTTTTTTAAATTATTACCTACCTGAGAATGCATTGCTATAGTAGCGTGACAGGGTCTGCTTGATATCCCTTGAGTGTGAGGTCCACGGAGCGATCTTCCTGTACGTACTGATACTGTGAACGAGCTGAGAGCCACCGTACTGCAGGGCCAATGTATCACCCATGTCTTCATACAGATCCTCTAGCATCCTTGATACATCACACAGAAGAGGCAAGGTTAAATATTTCATGAATATTTAGGCAAATCCATAAGTTCATCCATATTCATGTACAGTACATTTGTGCATATTCATGCCATTTGTGCATTCATGCATATTCATGTCTATTCATGCATGTTCATGTCCATTTGTGCATATTCATGTCCATTTGTGCATATTCATGTCCATTTATGCATATTCAAGCATTGTTATGCTCATAAATCATGCAAGGCCCACAACCTCCAAGGACAAGACTGAGTCCAAGTCACCAACTCTTGAGTCTGAGTCTAAGTCTAAGTCCAGACTGTCAAAGTCTATGAGTGAGTTTCAACTCAGACAAAATTTGGTGTACCTGCATCTGAATTTAGTGCGAGTTGAAACCTTATTTAGAGAAACATTGTTTTTCTGTATAAAATTATCAACTGCAGTTAGTCAGTCAATTGATCAAATGATTAATTACACAAAAACTATGAAACATCGATTTTTTTTTTAAAGAAGTGGTTTCATCTCAATACAAAGTCATACCACAGGAACAAGTTTGAATTCAAAACGAAAATGCAAAATAGGAGTATTAACAAAAACTGTTTCTCAGATTTTATTTTTTATGGATGTACATTTGTCTTTGGAACTGAACTCTTAACTCTTATCCTGCCGTAATGAATACAGCCCCGTGCCATAGGGCTAATCCCTATTGTGCCAAGCTACAAATCCCCCCTGTGCCAAGTTTATTTTGAGGTAATCTGATGGTGCAATCAATCGCGGGTGTGAAGCAATCAGCACAGTACAATGAGCATGACCAAAAACTGCCATTACAAATGCGAGCATGCATGCATAAAGCAGCTATGCTGTGCCTCGCTCGCGTGAATTAAGCAGCCAATCGATAGCGTGCATGCGGCCTTATGGCAGGATATGAGTTAATGCCTACACCCATGGGAATGTGAGGGTAGATGAAGACCCACCTTACTACATCTGAGTCAAACTCAAGCTCAGGATCAGCAACCACACCCAGAGAGTAAAGCTGCAAGAAAAACAAACACAAACACTCATTATCAGTAGCTTATAACAGTAGCTTATACATTGTAACAGTAGCTCATACATTGTAACAGTAGCTTATAACAGTAGCTTATAACAGTAGCTTATAACAGTAGATTATAACGGTAGCTTATAACGGTAGCTTATAACAGTAGCTTATATCAGTTATTGATAACAAGTTTCATGAAACAGGGCCTTCCTTAAGCAACCACCTGTACAGAAAATTCTTACTTTCCTCTAAACAAATTCAGTCATACATGCACCCTAAAATTAATAATTGCAAATATGTTTCCATACAACCATTGTACTTTTTTTAAAAGTGTAAATTAATAGCAGCTTTGCCCAACAAAGGTCCTGCACGTATTCACCAAGCTCTGTGTTTTAAGATACAGAAATGTTAAGCGTATTACACTTTACATTATCATAAAATAAAACAGTTTTGCCAACTCATATCAAACGAGGCATTAGCCAGGATTTTTCTCCGGGTGGAAGAGACATTGCAACTCACCTGATGACCGAGAGCATATTTTCCGGTGACAAACTGTGCCGTGTTGGTCCTATCCAGACAGTCCACACAGTTGGTTCTCACCACACCCATCTGCAATACAATAGTATACAATAGTTTGATATATTTTGATAGCACTCTTACAAACCGGATCATCATTTTACAAATCACATCGCTATATTAAAGGTAATACAAAGTTTTGGTATGGGGTCATGAATTTGGGTAAAATGAACATATTGGAAGCATAGGTGATCCTACAATATTCAGTGATCGTTGTTGCAGTTGAAATCGACTCTAAAGTGATAAAATTGTTAATAATAAACTCTTTATGTTGTATAGCGCCCTCTCAAGGTCGATACATGAATTTAGCTATAAAACAAAGTTCTTTGAATAAAATCGACCGATTTGCTATTACTGTTTGGAATATATATATCACAACTACATATTCTGAGATTTTCATGGTCGCAGCTACCATCGTATGGTCGTAGGCGCTTTTTGAAATTTATCAAAATTTACCGGAAGCACTGGTAAATTTGTATATTCAATTTTTCTCGAAAGCAGAAGTGTTTTAGGGGCTATTTTTTTTAGTGCTTATAATACATCCATAGGGGCATCCAGATATATCAAAATTGTAAAGAATCACTATCCAGCCAATTTTCAAAATTTACCAAAAATTTGTAATACCTTTAAAGTCAGTGATAGGTAATTCACCCGTAGGATCCCCATCCCGCAATTTGTTGCTCTTTCATTAATTACAAGGTACTGTAATTAATTCTGTGACTTTATTTCGTTTCCTTTCACAACAAATAAAACGTTTTTCAAAAGTTATGTAAAAAATGAATGCAAAAAACAAATTCAATTGGAAAGCTTTGAAAGAGCTCAGAAGAAACACAATGAAATCAACAAATAGTGCTGCCAGTTTATTTCACTTTTGAAATAGCAAATCTAAAATGAACAAACAAAGAGTGATATTATCGCCGATCTACATGTACATGTATTTACATCAAATACTTAATGCAAACTTGAATATACACTCATCAAACTCCTGCTTTCACCCTTTGCATTCTATGGAATAGAAAGTAAGAATGTTTTACACGCAGTATTTTGTTAACTTTGGTAAAATCTTCCTTAATGTCCCTTCCATATGTTTAGTTTTATATTGCTTACTATTTCCTTTGGAACTTTACCAGTAATTTATAAGTTATTAATTTTGTCAATTATGTAAGATACTTTTGACCGTTTGGACAAATTGATGCATAGCGCTTAGAAAAATTTATACTATAAGCATTATTGAAATATAATTTATTATTATTATTATCTTACCTGTCTGATGAAGACCTGTTCACAAGTACCTTCCTGAGGTATATCAGTCCTGGACGTACACACAATGAAAGCAAAGAGATAATGAAAGAAAGAGAGAGAGAGAGAGAGAGAGAGAAATATAGACAGAGAGAGACAGAGACAGAGAGAGACAGACAGACAGAGGAAGAGAGAGAGAGAGAGAGAGAGAGAGGGAGGAGAAAGGAGGAGAAATAGAGAGGAGTGAGTTACAAAATGTTGACTCTCTTCATGCATTTGAAACAGTGTACTTTTTACACTTTTAACAGTGTTATTTTACAGTGTTGCTAGTTTTTGGGGTAATGTGTGATCTACTGTGGCAAATAAAACATGAGAGTCAGAATTGATGGGTCATATGATCTACAGGTGAATGATCCTATTATAAAAACACATCATAAAAACTAGTTGCACTATGCTATTTATTTTCCAGTGGCACTTCTCTTTTCAGGCAGTTTACAGGACTATAAGGGAACCATTAAGGCTTTACTTGTAAAGGGATCTGGTAACTTTGTCTAAGATTCTGAAACAAAATCCTGGACTTAGCTCATGCTGCAAAGATAATTATATACCTTCAGGTCAGTCAGGAACCCCATGACTTTTACAAGCCGATCGCCTGTCTGATTATCAAGATATTTATGATTGGAAATCGAAATCATTTTTTTTTTCATAACACTTCAGTCTATTGGGGAAAACATGTATGGTAAAACCAGTCACTCAGAGATATTTACTTTTTTGAGGCACTTCTTGATCATTTTGAAGCGCGATTTTTTTTTTAGGTCTTCAACATTACACCATATCACAGACACTGATAACACGTAGGGCCATGCATCTTAGATTTTAACATTGTTAAACGATGCCTTTAAAGGAGTCAAGATTGTTACCTGGCGCCTTCTCTGACGGGTATGCTGGGGTGGATGGCATGTCCGCTCAGGAAGATACCAGTCTTCTCAACTGACCTTGAAGCTATCTTCTCCAGTTTTGACATCACATCCGCGTTCTTACTGTATAGGGAATGACAACAAGGTACATGAGTTGATCAAGTTTTAATTTACCGGGGTGGCCCTATTAGGGGCCCTGCATGTAGAGGTGTCATGGTCTAGTGGATCATCGGACTGTGGACCACATGGTTTGTGGTTCTAGTCCCGCCGCAACACAAGTGTCCTTTGGCAAGACGCTAATCTACATTTGTCACTCTCCACCCAGGTGAAGTAAAAAGGTACTCGTTAGGAAGAAAAACTCCTTGGATGCTTTAACACCTTATTATGGTGGCTCAGCTACAGCCGGGGTAATAATAGGATACTTTGTATTAAAGTGCAGGAGAGTAAATTCATATAATATCTGCACTATATAAATGGAGCTAATATTATTAGTAGTAAATTAAATGCCATTCTTCTTGGAGGCCCAGTATAAAACCATTTACAAGAAAATACATGCTACAAGACGGTTAGTATCACATTCATGTGTATATGTATGTTGAGATATCGATTCTGATTATTGAAGAATAGAAAGGCACCATTATTTATGCACAAAGGATTTTCATTTGACACATAAAACAATAGTGATACAGTTTAGAAAGATAATACTAATGTCATTCAGTGTGTAAAGAATGTAACATGGTGCTTGGTGTCTGTTGTTAACAAACTCACTTTGTAGCATATCTAGCTACATGTATGTCTAGGTGGTTAAAAGGGGTACTGGTAGTAAGATTATGTACATGTTATGGTGCGTGGTGTTTGGTGCTTTCTTACACACTTCTTGGTCTATCTTCCAAAGTTCAAGTGCACATGATGTATATACACAGTGCTTGTGTTTTATTCTTTATATACTCAATTAATGGTGTACCTTTCCAGATATAGATATATGTACTGTAGATGATATTTGGTGTTTAGGGAATGGTGTTTGCTGTTTGGTGCTTATATATTCACTTCTTGGTGCATCTTGACATGTCCAGGTGTACAAACATTTAATGGACAAGGTGCTTGTGTTCAGCGCCAATGAAGCACCTGGCCATCTCCATATAATGATTCAGTGTACATTTAATGTTCTGTGCTTGGTGGTGTTTGTGTACTTACTTCTTGGTGTATCTTGCCATGTCCAGGTGTATGTACTGTACTTGGTGCTTGGGAGGGAGGAACTGGTTCAAGTAGGAAAGACTAGCGGATAAAGCTTCTGTCAGATGGCTTTCCCTTTTCCTCTTTTCTCTCTTCTACAAATATAAAAGCAAGAACAGAGTGTGTTCAGCGCATTTCCGCATTCCTTCAGTTTACATTGGAGAGCAATTAATACACAGAGTGGTGCTTTAAGATGTGTCTAAAACTTATCAACCATTTCAAAATTAAAATTGCTTTCTGGAAGTAGAGTTTATATATAAAGAGAAAGAGAGGGAGGGGGAGAGAGAGAGAGAGAGAGAGAGAGTGAGAGAAAGAAAAAAAGAGATAATAATAATAATAACAAGGTTAATTTTTAACATGCCCATTACTACGTGACATGTTTCTAGATGCCAAAATAATTTTAGCTATTAAAGTTTACTATCAAGCCTAACATGGTTATTGTATAAACAATGGGATTCAAGGAGAGTTTGTAGAAGACAGCCTGTCAGGAATCACACTCCACCCAAGAGATGATAAAATATCGAGAGAGAGAGAGAAGGAGAAGGAGAGAGAGAGAGAGAGAGAGAGAAAGGCAGAAAGAGAGAGAGAAAGAGAGTGAGAGGAAGTGAGAGAGAGAGAGAGAGGAAGTGTGAGAGAGAGAGAGAGAGACAGACAGACAGAGAGGCAGAGAGAGAGAGAGAGAGAGAAAGAGAGTGAGAGGGAGTGAAAGAGAGAAAGAAAGAAGGGGGAGGGGCGGAGAAAGAAGGAGAGTTGAGAACAGAGAGGAACATTGAAAAACTTACCTTGACAAGATTGACAACAATGACAGGAGATCCAAACCTACTGAACAGGTCATTGACGTGACGTCCTGCTAGATGGGCAAAGGGATCAGCCATGTCAACTGCAAGGTTAAAGGTTAAAGGTCAATATGATTAAGCTTCTGTGTTATAAGTTTCACATCAAACACCTTGTGAAGGTCACACTTTCTTGCTTATTAAAATATTCCATGTGTCATCAAAGTATCTAGCCCAAGAAAGCAATCCGAGTACAAAGTTTGTACACGTACTCCAATTGGCCAATAAACGTAAAGGTGTCGTAGTCGAGTGGTTTAAGCATTTGAATTGAAATGCAAAGGTTGTGGGTTTTGATCCCCAACATGGCACTAAGGTTCTTTGGCAAGGCATTCATCTACATTTGCCCTTCTCCACCCAGGTGTTAAATGGGTACATGGTAGGATGTAACATGTTTGGATTGGCATGTGTGCGCTTGTAAAATGGCGCCCGGCCGGAATACTTGCCAGGGAGCATAGTGTGGGCACCATCATTTGTGGGTTACCAATTGAACACCAGGGTTGTAATAGTTACAATGTAAAGTGTTTAGAAATGTAGTATTGAGCGTCATACAAAAATGTGACTACTACTACCATTATCATATCAAGGCCTTGATTAGCAACGGAATGTGAAACTCACTATTAATGGGTGGTTTAGGTACCATAGTGGTGATGTCCTGAGACCAAAGGGCCGGCACGGATCCACGATGCTGGACGTACGATGCGAAGCGCCCTCTCTTGAGCTCGGACAAGGAAGCTTCGTGAACAATCTGCTCAGTTTCCACCTCGTTGGCAACTCCTCCCTGGCAAATGCATGGGTTAAAATGGCTCTCAATCACATAATCATTTTATTTCTGTAATTTTTAGTAGTAATGTTGGACCCAGTCAACATATAAAGTATAAAGACTGGTTGCAATACAACCCAACGTTCTTTTATCATGCACTTTAACTTTTTAACAGTGCGAGCCGCTTTCAGCTGAGATAGCCTTGTAATAATTTGATTTTCTTGACTTCAAACATGACACAATGTTTAAACTAATATTCAGACCGCTCTGTCGTATTGAAATGAATAAGGTAATTCTTATTTAATAAAACAATGTCATCCTTGTTATTGAACTTCCATTACATGATATGAAGAATAGAGTAAAAAAGTGCTGTGTTGTACTGTGAAGATTTAAGAGACCTATATTAGGTCATTTCTCTTTTTGAAGTTGGTTCACTGCTAAGTTAAACATAGTTTTCAAAATACAATTTTCTTTTAAACTCTTTATTTAACTACTGCGCCCACAACGTTCGTTCGTCAAAGCAAACACACAATGCACCTAATGCCAATTGGAGTGCATGGCACTTCAATGACCTTTCACACTTCTGATTTGCTAATTGAGCGCTAGTTGAGCACTATTAAAGGAAACCGACCCCCCAAAATGACTTTACTTTATTCTGAGAGATCTATTATATTATTGCCCATTAGTCTACAAGATTCCACCCAAAAATATATGAGAGAGGTATAAAACAAGAATGTAGTTTCTCAGCATGACATGGGCATTGCCATTTTCTTGATAACGTAACATACTACGGGAAGTCGTTTATCAAGTAAATGTATTCAAATTTATGGATGCTTCCTTCCCAGACGTGTGTGGTGATGAAGCATTTCATTCACCTGCTATTATCCTTTTTGCCAGAACGCAAATTGCATAAATAAGTTGGTGCTCTTCTGGGGTGAAGGTTTCTCATAAATGAAATAGATTTGTCAACTACTTATAATGTAGTTTTTATAAATGAATTTAGTTACATTTGTTCCCCTGTTATTTATTTTTCACGAAATATAATTTCTATCTTCTCAGTTATGATTTTTCCTCACTGGAAAGTAAAGGTTTCGTCATTGATTTAAATATTATTTCCAACTAAAGCTTGGTGCATGATACATGTACAACTTCAACTGGTACGTCACATCTTCAACAAAATGGCTGCGCCCATGTCATGCTAAAAGGCATCACATCATGCCAAGAATATCTTCATTTATATATCTCTTGTACATTTTCGTAAGGAATATTTGTACATCAAAGGGCAGGAATACATCTCATTTTTCAGAATACCTACATTTGTTTTGGGGGGTTAGGTTTCCTATAAGAGAGCATTCAGAATATCGCCTCTAAACTCCTAACATCTCTACTTACCTCAGAATTTGCTCCACGTTTGAGGAACCTTGTGCCAGCATAATGAGCAGATCTTCTTGCTACCAGTGTCATCAGCACTGGTCTACCAAAGACGCAAATATCTTGAGATTCACAGTGAAGGAATATTATACTTGGTGTATGTGACTGAGGAGAAGAGGTGTCGTGGTCTTGTGTATATGTCACTGGACTGTGGATCACATGGTTCACGTTATGAGTCCTGCCACGGCACTAACCGTCCTTTGGAGAGACACATTTGCCATTCTCCACCCAGGGGGTGTTTCATAGAGCTGTTCGTAAGTTACGCATGACTTTACGAATGACTTAAATATGAAAGCCAAATGGGATGCTCAATCATTATTGACTGCATCAACTAAAGTTGAACTGTGCAGATGTAGATTAACATTATTATTATAACAAGCATTTTTAATGCAAAGTATATTTTTTTGCCATAATTTAAGTGGGGTTATTGGAAATATAGTCACAATTTGTTAAAACATCAGGACAAACTTTGGGCATCCTATCTGGCACTTCATATACAAGTCGTTTGTAAAGTCATACGTAACTTTACGAACAGCTTTATGAAACGCCCCCCTGGTGTTAAACAGGTACCTGGGAGGATGCAAACAATATTGTGGTTGGGTTGGCAAATGTGTGTGCTTGTAAAAGGGCACCTAGCAGGAATTCTCCCTAGGGAGCGGAGCATGTGTACCATCATGTGCAGATTAGCAAATGAATCCAATGACCAGGGTAATCAATGCGACTATCACTATTATCATTTTTCATCCAGCAACATATCGTCAAAACTGAGTAGGGTTGCAAATTATTTTTATGCTAGATTTAGGGTTATGTATGATTTTAAGTATTTGGTTGCAGTTAGTAATTCAGTTGGCAAGGAATGAGTTACTGTAAAACTAGAAAAGTTCACACATACTATCAAGAATGGCCATTTTTACAGAAATAAACTATTGGAAATTTAGTGTAGTATCAATTGTCATATAAATTATTTTAATGCAACAAAATTTCTTGAAAAATCTGTAACACTCGTGGAAGACATGAACATTTCACTCAACGGAAAGTTCCTGGTTTTTAAAGACCGCATATATTTTAAAGAGATTTCAGTTTGAATCAAAGGATACTGCACTGTCCCACGAAACCGTGGATGACATGGATGGCCCAGCAAGGATGGACCTGGTCCTGAAACCTGTTCCATAGGTAGTGGTTCCAGGCAAACTTGGGCTTGGTGTGGATGGGTACCACCCGGGGATTCCCCACTTCACCTGTCAAAACAAATACACTTGTTATGATCTTGGCTATGAAGTAAATACAGTCAAACCTGCTTTAGTGACCACCTGTCTACAAACATCACCTGTCTACAACAAGCACATTTTTTGTTTCCCTTGAAAATGGTTTCTCTATGAAACATGTACTAAAGGAACCTGTCTTCAAAGACCACTTTTTGTGTTTCCCTTGGGCGGTCGCTGTAGAAAGGTTTGACTGTATAATCACTACTGGAAATACAGGTACATGTATCTTTTTCATAGACTTTGATTTTTGTATCTTGCCAGTCAGACACAGCTTTGGAAAACCAAGCACAGGTATAAATACGCTGAAAATGCGTATAACGCACAATGAGTATAGAGCCCTCAATGTTCAATGCGAGACAGTGTGTATACAAAAGGAATGGGGAAAATTTTGCAAAGTCAACAATGCTGTGGGTCAATTATCTTTAAATGTCTTGAATGATTTTTCTCATATAATATTACATTTTAAATAAATATATCCACAGCATTATTTTAAAAAAAATATTCATCAACAAGTTGACAATGCACGATTTCCCCCATGTCTTTAGTACACACTGCCTCGCACTGAACAATGAGGGCTCTATAATCAATGTGCGTTATATGCCGTCTTTGGTGTATTTACCTGTGCTCACCTTTTCCGAAGTTGTGTCTAAATGATTAATTTATCATATTTCATTATTACTATCATCATAATCATATACAGTATGAATAAAAGTACCAAATATAAAAATGTGTACAGAGATTGATTTCCATACAGTGAACATGTATATGCCTTAGATGCACATGTACTTGTAAATAAAATTAAAAAGTTGGCAAAGAGGCTTACACATTTTTAAAGACTGCAAGTATACATACATAGTGGGCAATTCCACGGTAACGGAAGGACACTCAGACAAGATTTTTGAACTTCAGGTTCATACTAAAAGAAATGTTTTATTAGTATGTATTAAACTATTGGGAACAAAATGTGTTTCAGTCAAGTGGAAAGCTTCATCAACTTCACAAAGTTTGGATAAACACTAATTAACTGGAAAAACCATGTCCATTTTTATGTCCTTCCGTTACCGAGATAATTAATATGCACATTCTTAAACTACTTAACTATAATGACAATTTTTTGGGGGAGAATTAAAGGCACTTATATAGGTATTATATCTGTACTGTTTCACATCTTATACTAATAAAACAGTTCTTTTAGTATGAACCTGAAGTTCAAAAATCTTGTCTGAGTGTCCTTCCGTTACCGTGGAATTGCCCTAGTGTATAATGACCTTCATGTATAAATGATGATTAAAGATTCTGCAAAGGAGAATTAGATGTTGATGTGAGGTGAAATCGTAAGAAAAGTCTGCTGCGAGAAGGGCTAGATAGTGCAACTTGTTTTATCCTCTGCGAGAAGGGCTAGATAGTGCAACTTGTTTTATCCTGCAGAATCTTTTAACCTCATTCCAATCTGTCTAAATACTGACCTTTGTTTTGATAAGCACTCAGGTTGTGTTGTAAAGAATGTGTCAGATCGTAGCTATAACTGTTCAGAGTAACATAACAAAAAACAAACACAAAAGAAGAGAGAGAGGTAAATTGATAAAATTGTTGCTTATCTGGAACAATGTAGGTGTCATTGTCTAGTGGATTTGGCAAAAAGACTGTGGATCAATAGACTGTTTTTGAATTGTAATCAAATTTCATGCATAAATCTGTTTATAAGTGCCATCATGTTCCAAATTATTTCCTTCACCTGTTATGAATAATTGAATTTCAATAGTCAGAATGCTACTTGCATATATTAATAGTAACTAGGTAGGATGAACATTTTGCTTGTCCTACCCCCAGCCCCCCCACTCCGAGAACGGACGGACCCCATGCATGTTGCCAAAATGTCCTTTTCGTAACAAAAGAAAAAGGTCGACCCATATTGACTTTACACACCGGACTTTTGCTGAAAAGGGGGGGTGCTGAAAAAGGCTCGTATACAAAAGAAAAAGGTCGAGCCGTATTGACTTTACACACCGGACTTTTGCTGAAAAGGGGGGGGGGGGGGTCGGTTGGAACAGGCATGTGCGTACCCTAAATAACACTGAGTGGGGGGGCCGGGGTCCTACCTAACTAAATGTAATGTAACTTGACAAAGATGTGTGCATTAAATTTGAATATATTAGGAAACACCAGTTTTTTTATTGTACCGTTTTGAAAATCAGCAACGGGGTAATATTCATTCTCAACCGAAATTATCTTTAAATATCAGTCATAAAATTTGTTTGAAAATGCTTTAAAACATGGCTCAGATTGCACGAGCATGGATCTAAGAATCTTATAGCCCCTTACGTAGGCCCTGGAGCCTGACCACAAGGGACTTTGTGCTTCGCTTACATCAGTTCATTCCTCCTTCCACGTTCCAATTATATATGTTTTAATCTTTGTTTATGGGCCACCCTGCTTATCAGTATTCATGAACAAAATTATGAGATTCATATTAGATGCTGGTAAGCCAATTATTGTCATTTTTGTCAAACATTCCTGTCCTTATTCGGAAAGCTGAGAACCTTATACATGCCTGAAATGTGCTTGCCCCTTCCTCTTCAGAAATGAATTAATATTGAGCCCATGCTCAAACAGTTTGCTCAAAATCTACAGTGTGCAATACAGAGGACATAAATACATTCTTCAAACGTACCTGAAGTAGAAATTACTGGACAAATCCACATTCTGAAACATCTTCAGGTACCTAATGCATTAGAGATACGAGCAGGAGAAAGAGAAAAAAATCGACATATTATTTCATACAAAAATATAAACGGACGATTGAAAGGTGGACGGTGGGACGGAAAACCTGAAAAGATAATGCCTCCGACACCACCTGCAGTGGGCGGAGGAAATAAAAATCAAACATTTATCTTGTTCATACTGATAAGTACATGTATGTAGAAAACACACTATATAAAATATTAAGAATTAAGAGGAGAAAAAGACAGGCGGAACAAAAGAGAATGAGTAGCAGATCGAGGTGACAAGATGGAGAGAGAAATAGGTAAGAATCTATGATGACTTAAAGTATCTAATGTAGCCTACACCTATTGGAATATAAAACACCAAAACAAATGCTGATAAAAACTGCATGGGCACAGAGCTTGACAATTAATTACATCCCATTTTGTTCTCTTCTATGAGCCAAATACAAACAATTTCATTGGCTACAGCCCACAAGACAAACAATGTCAATCTAGCGAAACTTTTGAAAAGTTGTCAGATGGCCCAAAAGACCGACGGCTCACAAGACCAACATATCGATCTTTTCTGAGGGCTCACCGGAATGTTATTGTGCATCCCAGGGGATGTATCCATTTCCATCTGTACAAGGCCAGCACAAATCTTCTCACTCTGACATTACCTATCTATTGCGCCTTGAGCATTTCATTTTTAATTGGATTTGGCACCTTATAAATCCTATATATTGTTGATGTACCAACCTTGCTTCATCGGGATGTTGCTTGCGAAAGTTGTCGTGAGGGATATGAACCATGGAAGTATCTTCAATCTTGTAAATGGTGTGACCTCCAATAATAGCGACCCTGTTCATCGTTAAATTTGAGGGGATAAGAAAGTTTAATGTTTATTATCATTATCAATATTATTCTAATCATCATCATCATCATTATTATCATTATCTTTATGATCAGAGTCATTATCTTATTATTATCATTATGTGGTGGTGGTGGTGGTAGAAGCATTATTATCATTACTATTTTAGAATTTAACTTACTTTTTCCTCTTCGTAATCAGGATGATATAATACCCCTCTAGGAATCTGACAAAGCCTAAAGAAGAAAAAACGTGGTAACATCAAATATTTTATACAATCTTTAATATTCCAACAACAACAAAAAATGTTTTCACTTTCGTCACTTGCAACAACCTAAGACAATTCAAAGTCAACTAAAATGATTTGTTAGTATCTGAAATAACCTGCAACCCCATGAAATATTTTGCATACAGAAGGACTTAGAATGACTTGAAATGATTTGATATCCTCTATAAAGATAACAAGGATGATCAGTTGCAATCGCTTCCCTCGGATAGGATGTTAAATGGAGGCCCCACGTAGAGGAGAGTCACCTCCTTTGTACATGAAGAACCCATGGTACAATTCAATTAAGAGTAGGGGGAAACCCTGGGTGTAGTGAGGGGAGGAGAGACTCGAGGGTTACAATAATTCAGTTTGGGTTTTCCCTCCTAGGCACAGGTGACGCCAAATACTTAATAATAATAAACGATAACTTGCAATCACTTGCACTAACTTATGGACCTGTAAATTAAAAATTTGTAAATTAACCAGCAGCTAAATTTCAAAACCCAATCATCTGACTTGAACTCATCTGCAATAACTGGCAATCATGTGAAATCATTTTTCAATCACATGAAAACAAAATGAAACCACATCAAATCATCTTGAATCATTTACAATCATTTTTTCATTTTTTTCCACTCAAAAACAAGTTCCCTCCAATCAGTCTACTCACCAGCTATCCCGAAAGCAGAGACATTTCGAGACCATCCAGCCATGGGGTTCGATGACGAGGAGGGGGCAGGGGAGGCCCCTCTGTTGCCATGGCGCAGTGTCTGCAGGAGGTCCTTGATTTGAGGGAGAGTGTAGGAGATCTAAAATGGACAAGAAGACAGGATTGTTTTGGGTGAATACTTTATATGAGCAAAAGCATGAAATGTAGAAACTAGTGCTGTAGTCAAACGTTTAACCGTCCGGTATCCGACCGCCCATGGCGGATTCCGTTTTCAATTGGACGGTTTCGTTTACCCGTTTTTTTTTTTTTTTTTTTTTTTTTTAATTTTTTTTTTTTTTTTTTTTTTTTTTTTTTTTTTTTTTTTTTTAGAGTTTCGATTTATGCCCCTCCACCTGGCACTATGTCTGGCAATGTCTCCCAGCTCAGTTATCTGTGTGTTGACTCACCACTCTGAAACTAGAACAACACTTCAATTTGTCTGTCATCTTGGTTTGAAAGTAATCTTTGTAATAGATCTCAATATGTATTTTATAATAATAATTCATCCAACTTTTACACACCGCGTATACCACAAGCTTCTATCCAAAGTTCTCTACTGTTTTTAATGTACATTAATGATCTTACAAATTCTTCTAAAAACGAAATTTTTACTATTTGTGACAAGTTCACAAGCACAAATCGGCGCCTTCAAATGCACCTCGCAGTTAATTGAAAGTCCTTCCCGCAAAAAAAAAAAAATTAATAATTTTTTTTTTTTTTTTTTTTTTTTTTTTTTTTTTTTTTTTTTTAATTTATTTAAAAAATCGTTTAACCGAAAACCGTCCGGTTTTGACTGGCGGTTAAACGGAATTGGAAATATCCGTGATGTTACAGCACTAGTAGAAACTAAACATTTCCAAATCAGCCCGCTACCATATAGCATGGTATAGTGACGTGAATCCCGTAACATACAAAGCAAAATATTGTTTGGTGTTTGGTACATTTTAAATTAGCCAGGGTCACTCTAGGTTTTGCCTAATAATTAGCTTATGAAATAGAAACCATCACATATTTATTCTCAAAGCACCTTAATGGAAATTTTCATTGTGGATTGTTTAACAAGAATGGATTAACTGTCCCAATGAACACCAGAGGGAAGCCCAGCTTTGGAAGCTATGGAAAATTTAATACATTTTGCTACTTTGTCACACTGAAATAAAATATGACTTACCTTATCATCTGTGAGGAGTAGCTCTCTAGCTTCTGTCCGATCAATTTTCAACACTCTGAACTCGGTTTCAGCATTGTTGGACCCTATGATGTAAAACCTCTGAAGGAAAATTGTAATAATATGAAATACACACATGGGCAAAATTCCAGTGTCTTTCTTAAAGCACTTCAATCATACTGATTCAACAGGGGTGGGCATCTACTATTCTGTTTAAACTAGAGTACTACATATATATCCAATATGTTTAATAATAATAGTATACACTTCATAACTGATCATATGCAGCCAAAACTATTTTTTGAATGAATCTGTGAATTGTTATGAGTCATTCATACCCTCCCCCATCCCCTTCACATCAATATCACTGTTCCACTCTGAATACAGACAATGAAGATATGGCACAATCATCATGTATTCTGGTCCATTGTTTTTTGTTTCCTTTTCTTTCCATTTTCTTTTCAAAGGGTAAAAAATGTGCTTCCAATCATGAACAAATTGAAGCATAATGTACAATTTTCTTCTATATAATAAATCACATTATTTGATCTTCCATAATGTAATTAAAAAGCCTCATACACTGTAAATACGGTACTTGGAACTAAATACTAAAAGAGTCATTGCAAATACACAGTGGTATTTCTTTTGCATGGCAATTTCAGAGAATATGAAGGGTAACACTTACAGCTTTGGTTTCATAAAGGACTATCTTCTGGATGTTGCTGATGAAGAAATCCGTCTCCATATTTCCAAGATCTTCTTCAGTTTCTGATACATGTACATGTAGTTATCCTAAATATAAAAAAGGAGAGATAGCAATGTATGGTCTGCACAGGTTCGTGAAAGATATTGATTTTAAGATTAAGAGTCATACTGAAGACCCTACCCTGGCATTTTGATGATTCTTTATCAATATAATTAATTTGTGCACAATAATACTCTTTCCCTGCCAATATCAAAGCAGGGGTTAAAAATAAGATTACTGGTAGATATAGATTTTTTATGTCATTATTATAGTAATTGAAAATTAGATCTATTTTCTTTCCAATCATCATTTCATCTATTCTAAATCAAATTGTTAAGTCTAGATAAACAAAATCTGTCATTCCGCCATTCTGGTGAAAATTGCTAGTCAATCCCCCTGTTGTGCATGTTGCAAGGCCAAGGGTAATGCCGTCTGTGTATGGGGAATGTCAACAAATGTCAGTTTTATTAAAGAAATGACCATATCAGACGTTTATTTCTGTCTAGGTCCAGCCAAGGTTAATTGGCGCTTGTTCAGAACCGTATCCAAAATTTGACCTGTAACTCCGGCGTGTGTGAAGTTATCTACCGTAATGAGGATCTGAGACATTACGGTAGATAACTTCACACAGGCGCGCGCCCGCCCGCAATCCAGCATCGGTATGCACTTGTATTCTGCAGCGGTTTGCCGTGAAACCTGAAAATGTGTATAACTGGTAGTAATATCATTGTTTTTCCGAAAAAATACTCCAAAAATAACAAGAAAATTGACACAAAACGGGTAATAAACATAACAACTTTTAACTCATGATCTTTATTTGGAAATTTAATGAATATTTACTTCATTTTGGGTATGTTTTAGTAGGGTATCTCCACCCCGGAGTTACGTGTCAAATTTTGGATACGTTTCTGAACAAGCGCCGGGTAATTAAAGTGACTTGGTACATGTAACATTGTTGAAGGTTGATGAAAAAAATCGTTTAATTTTTGTATAAAATGTTACTTACTAGGCCTAGACCTATATTCCTTCTACTGTACTAACCCTCTGACATGCAAAAAATCCTGGAAAAATTCTCAAACCACAAAGATATCTATGATTTTCTTTGAAGGCGTCGATGTACGACACCCTCTAACTTAACACTGATTAACAATAAATTCTCCCAACCATTTTTGAATTTTCACCAACCGTTTTTCCATGAAAAAAAAAACATAAAACAGGCTAGATCTATACAAAATCTGTCAACACTTAAATGTCTGGAATGGAATGTGCATTGTAGAGCCATTTTATTGCTTTGTGAGATTCCCATTCACCTAAAATGTAATTCAATTGTAATAATAATATAGTTGGGAGAATTAAGGAATCGATCAGATCTGTTTTTTCCCAATTTGTACCATGAATAACGGTCCGTTTTCACTCAAATTTTCAGATTATCTTTAATTGTACATCTAGCATTGAAGTCACTACCTTAGCACCACTATCTCTCATCTTAACAATGTTACAAAGTCCCTTTATGGGCAAGGTTTGAAGGTAGTTTAGAGACACCACAATAGGACTAGAAGCTATGGCGGCCCCAGGGCCGGCACGGGGAGCGGAACAGTGAGCTGCCGCTCACCGCCCTGCGATCTCGACTGAACTAGACTTCACAAATAAGACATCGCAAATAAACGTTATTCTCTTCCTAATATACTAATGTTTCAACTAAATACACTAACCTGGTATCTATATTGTCTTTCTGCCTGTTCACAAAACGAAAATTAACTTCAGAAGGAGAATATTTAGGTTGATTTATCCAATATGTTCTGGTAAATACCACCGAGCTTCCGTACCTGTGCGACCTCAAGCCAAGTCGCTGGAAATTAATAATGAATGAAACGATGATCACAATAACAACAAAAAATAAGAAAAACAAAATACATCAGTAAAATTGTATTAATTTATTCTTTTTAGGCTTCGGTGAATTTGATTGATCTATATTTTTCTTTTTTTCAAACACATTTTTAGTAAAATGTTTTAAAATAAATTATAATGGTTCCATGTCTTGAAATAGACTTTGGAGTTTAGAGTGGGCGTGGTTACCTTTAACCAAAGAGATACCGATAGAAGATCACTTCTTCTCCTCCTCCTTCCTCCTTCCTCCTCCTTCCTCCTTCCTCCTTCTTGTTCTTCGCTTTTCACTTTCTATTTCTCTTTCATTTTCCTCTTTCTCTTCTCTTTCATTTTACTCTTTCTCTTTCATTTTCTTCTTTCTTTCTTTTTTCTTACTTGCTTTATATACTTTCTTTTCTTTCATTTTGTGTCCTTTTTTCCTTGAAGTTCACTGCATGGTAATAGCACTTTAAGAAATTTGTATACTCAATTTAAAAAATCCCTACTCAACTAAAGCATTATTAATTCCTTCAATATGAACATTTATTGAGAGCGATTCCAAGAGGGAAGACAAGCTTTTATTAGTAAAAGAAATGTTATATATAATATAATACCGTAAGTGGGCAGTCTAAACTGCCTCTCTTATAATTACTAACAAGGCTCAACAATGCTGAAACAAACATCCAGACACACTAAATTTCTTGGTTTCCATGGTATCAAATATGCAAATTTGACATAGGTGGTTTATTACACACAAAAAATGTACAAAGTGCAAGCATCGTGATTAGATAATCATTTAAGAAAAATTAGTACTGAAAAATAAAATCATAGAAAGAATATTGCACACAACTCTTGTATGTATTGAAGAGGTATATAAAATTACTTCATAATAGAAGATTTCATTGATTGAAAGGTATACAAATACAATTGTGACCAGGTTTAAATTACAATTGCCTATAAGGAAAAGTAGCAACAACCTGCAAATCTTGTGACAATATGGTACTGTACATGTGACTTAGGAAGACTACTAATTAATTAAACCAACAGGTTTGCAGTTCTAGTCATTGATTAACTTTTGTGGAAGGTGGGTGGATGGTACGTCTACTGCGACAGTTGCTCGGCTGTCATTTTCCAACACTAACCAAATTCCTAACTTTAAACAACCCTTGACCCACCATATACCAACCTTTGTATATACGGACACGAGTATCTATTAAATCGAAAATTCAAGTCAATTATGACTAACCAACTAATGATACTGCCTCAAAATATTGATTGAGTCATCTTGATCACTCTAGAAATTAAATTTAGATGTAAAACCACAGCAAACAAAACAAAATATCAGTAAGAAATGCTCTAAACTCTTTTAAATCAGCCTAGGCAAAGGTGTCTTTAGACATTTTCAAAGGGAGAAGGGGGGTACAACCTGGATCAGCTGGCTTTGCAGAAAAGCTTTCCAACAACAGTATCACAGGTTCTATGATTTTCAAAAAGACATCCAGATAATACTGAAATACTGTGATAATACAATAATACAATATAATTACATGAAAATGCTTTTTACAGTGCAATTTGCGCGAGTGAAATAAATAAACCAAATAGTTAAAGCAAGATTTTGAATTATAGAAAGAACAGCAATTATGATTTCACTAACTTATATTTCCAATACAAAAATACACACTGCAGTTTCCTTGGCCCAGAAAAGACTTGATAAGTAATTGAGCATCACAATAATTTCCTGAAAAGGTATTGCAAAAATGCATTTACCGGTAGTACAGTCCGGTATAGAGTGTGACTTATTTCACACAGCCCCTAATCCCAATGAAATATAAAGCGATTAGCAATACTCCTGAGCTCTGCTGTACATGTACATGCAAGTGTGTTTTCAAATTATAATAATTAAAAAAAAACCAAAAGGGTAGATTTATTTTTCTTACAGTACATTCAAATTCAAAACAGCATTTTTGCAGACTTTGGTGGACACAACGACATGTACCATGGCAATTTCATTACCGGTAATTTCAGTTCTTCTCAACTTTAGTATTGGCTAAAACAGTACTGTACACCCAAAAAAATCAATTGGACAAATTGGACAGGGAAAGGATAATACAGTAAAAGTAAAACCTGTCTATAAAGACCACCCCAGGGAAACAGAAAAGTGGCCATTGTAGACAGGTGGCCTTTCTAGACAGGTGCTACAACACACATTTCTCTCTCAAGGGAGACTAAATGCATGTCCACTATAGACAAGTGGTCTTCATAGAGAGAGGTGGTCGCTAATACAGGTTTGACTGTAATAGTAATATAGTATACAAATATACACTATCTGGAGAGGTTCTGGTTAAAACAATGGGCAAGAGGTGACTCCAATATTTGCTGAGGGGCAACGTTCTTCACCATCTCATCACAGGTCAGGTTGGTGATCATGACAGAGGAGGAAATCAAACAGGTTCCTGAAGAGGTCAAAGACTATTTGGCAGTTAATCTATGTCAGATTTAAGCCAATCCACTGAACAGCGAGCTTCTATTTGAATTTGACCGAATCTTCACCAACCTAAAGTTGATGGAAGAAGACAAAGGTACAAAACTCAAGTCACCCCTTCTCTACAACTTCCTCAGGAAAAAAGTCAACAGAATCTATCCCAAGCGCTTGTTGGTAGAAGGTGAAGGGGACGTAGGGAACACCACTTTTTGCACCCCACAAGACACCCCTGCTCTACAACAACTTCCTCAGGACCAAAGTCAACGGAATCTATCCCAAATGCTTGTTGGTAGAAGGTGAATGTGGTGTAGGGAAGACCCCTTTTTGCGCCAAGATCGCTTTGGATTGGATCCACAGCTAGAAAGGCTACAAAGATTTCAAACTGGTTCTTGTCATCTTCCTTCGCAATGCAGAGGATAAGACTGTTGGAGAGATAGTGGAGTCATACATGTATGTTTCTCAACAATCAGGTCACAGCAAAGCAGCTAGACAAGTACAGCCAAGGAGTTGCCTGCTGGAGGCATTTGAAATCATGCGCTCGCGCTAAAAATCGCATCATGGCAGCAGAAATGTGGTTCTGGAGAAAAATGCCAAAAATCAGCTGGAAGGACAAAAGAACTATTAACCTCAGTGTTCTACTAGAACTGAACACAGAAAGAGATCTCCTTAGAAAAGTGGCCCGCCTCATGATGGGTTACATTCTGCGAGGCAGTGGGAGTCCCTTAGCAGCACAAATAATAGAAAGCAAAGTAGAAGGAAAAAGAAAAAGGGGCAGACAGAGAGAGCAGTGGTTTGACAACATCAAAGAATCGATAGGTCTTACATATTCAGAAGCCAAAAGATTAGCACAGGATAGAAACAAATGGAGAAAGACTACAAGGAGATATGCAGATGTGGTCCCCAATTGCCAGCAACTGACGGTGGCGGCCAGGTAGCGCTCGCTGAATTTTCAACTCCCAAATAGTACTCTGAAATAGTACTTTTTCAGAGCAACCTTAAAATGGTTGAAATATTTCTGGCCACGTGAAGAGCTCTCAACCCATCAAAAACCAATCAATTTTATAGTGCTCAATACTACTATGTATCAAACTATCACAACAATTATGATTGCCCCGGCATTAGCTAAGAAGCCCCGAGAAGGTGCTCTCAGCATTCATGGAATTTCTTCCTTCCAGCTAGGTACCGATTTACGTCACCTGGGTGAAGAGTGGGAAATGCTGATTAATGTCTTGCCACAGTTCGGCGATGTACCCACTAGGAATAAACAACGACCACGACAGGATGAAGTTGATCTGTCATTGGACAAATTGAATAAAGGAATCATGGGACATATGACTACAAATATACATGTAGTGAGTAATCCCAAAATATGATCTTCAATCAGTGTTTGTTTCAGTTTTTTTTTTTTTTTTTTTTTTTTTGGGGGGGGGGGGGTACTTCTGTGCCTCATAGTAAAAGGTTAACTACAGTCAAAGCTGCTTTAGTGACCACCTGTATAGAAAGACTACCTGTCTACAAAGACCAAATTTTCTGTTTTCCTTGAAAATGATTTCTCGTTGAAACAATGTACTCGTACTTAAAGAACCTGTACATAAAGACCACCTGTCTATAAAGATCAATTTTCTTGTCTTCCTTGGGTGGTCTTTATAGATAGGTTTCACTGTACCTGTTGATCACCAAACTTCATCTTTTCAAAGAACAGGTATGCTCCAAAAAGATTGACTTACATAGAAAGTAAAGATATCAGTTCTACTACATGTAGAAATACATACAATACAATACCACCCTTTCCGCTAAAGTTAGTAAACTTGCAAAAAATAATGTTTTGCGACACAAGCTATTTTCGTTACATGAAAAAAATCCAATACACTAGGCTTTACTCAAGGAAAATTTTCCTTTTTGTCAACAGTACTGCAAGTATAGCAGCTTTATAACTACCGGTATCAAAATTATCTAACAGCTGGAGCAAACTGTTTAACTTTATGATACAATATAATACAAAAAACGAATCCATGTATGAAAATTATCTTCTCTCTGCATCATTCTTATACAACGTGTAATACCTTTGACACAAATAATTCTGGTTTGTGAGTCCATTAGTGAATATGCACTGCACGCAGGTCAAGTCACAAGCAGATAATGAATGAGACCTGTCAAGTTCATTATCCAGCCAATCGTGACTTAATTTTAAACCAAGTGCAGTGCATATCTCTAATGCACGGGCTTGTGATATACCAGCTCCATGTCTTAAAGATAAACTCCAGTACTGGTAAAAAAAAATAAAAAATTCTCACAGAATCAAACGAAACTTACACTGAATGTTCAAGATTACAAATAAATGACATGTGCCAAACAATTTTGGAAGAAAATGTATACTGGCTGAGTAATGAGCATAGAAAGACAAGGAAATCAAGGTAGTACTAGCCCCGACACCATGTGTGTTGTCCCATATATAGCTTTCTATGTGAGTGCTTGTTACTTTGCCAAGACTCGGTAAAATTTATTATGATTTTGATGACTCCAGAACCTTGCAGTGCACACCAATACTTACATGCTACATGATCAACTGTTTCTGATCCTTTCCACACCTTTTCTTTCACAATGCAATCGCGCGCATTACCAGTACTAAAGTTTACCTTTAATGATATAGTTCTACATTATGCCATAACAAATTTTGATTTTCATAAATAATCCAACTTCCGTTCTAGTGGATGCTTATTTTCAAACCACTACATGTTTATTTCATGAAGCTACAATGAACCTCAACACATGACAGTGTAAAACTCCATTTACTAAGCACATCTCCTTCGTGTCTAATGCATTGGCAAATATCCACTTATTTAAAAGCTTTTATACATTTCTTACATTTAAATGTATTTTAATCCACAGTGGAGGGTTAAACCACATTTTTGACCGTGAATTAAATAAAACCTCCTTTGCACATTCTGGCCGAAGTCCGAGACTACTATACAAACTAGAACATGTTTTAACAAAAATGTATTCAAATGGATCTAAATTGAAAACAAAATCAGTAAATATTCCAATATTCCAATATATACATATATATTCAAAAATTTCCAGTAAAACATTGCATATTTGTGATAGATCTAATGGCTTTCTACTTGATACATGTACATACATTTTGACAATTTGACTTGAGGATATAATAAATTGCTTAACTACCCAACTCGTATACCGGTAACTGTTTACTACTTTGCACAAGAGAAAACTTTGCACCGTCATTAAAAATCCATATGCATGCATGCAAATTGTGCAGTGGTTTTAAAGGTAGCTATATTGTGACATTTTACTGATTCTCTATCAAAAGATACAATGTAATCTACCATACCACATAACATGTGCGACCTTCTTGTCTCGTGTCTCCCCTGTCATATAGTAAACGACTGTTAATGTGCAATCCTGCTAGAACAAATCTAGCAACAAAATCTCAGTTCTGAATCCTTTTTATCCAGGGACCAGAGCTATAGAGTTCATATAATTTTAACAAGATCTATTAATTTGGTAAGCCTACATTTGCACCACGTTGCACATTCCATGATTACATAATCATTACAAATGGGGCATTGTAGTAAAGGAAACTGACAAAATTTTCAATGATATCAAAATATCTCAATGCCATAAAGACTTGCAGATGGGCAGGGAGAGCCTTGCTCCTCTTTGCGGCATGCTCCAATTCGTTGCTCGACTCGTTAATTACGAAAGGAACTCCTTCTCTGTTGAATCTGTATTTTTTTAACATATCTGTATCACGAAAATTATATTAGTTGGTGAAAACCACTAATTGTTAGATGAAACGCCCCCCCCCCCCCCCCCAGTGGTACCAAGAGAGATATCAATACTCAAAATTAAATTGCAGAACTTTTCTTTGAGGAGTTATGATGTGGGGTTGCAAGTCCTACAACTGGGTTTAACTTACATCATGGGTTTAGGATTGAAGTTACATGTAGGTATCATGTTGCATCCAGGATTGAAGTTAGGACTGCAAATTGTGACTGCAGTCAAATTTGTAGGAATTGGCAGCGAGAAGAACTGGTAGGGGAGTGTTTCACAAAGACTAAGATTGACTTTAAGTTGGACATACTTGGCAGGCCGTTCATGCCACTGTTTTCTATCACCATTTACAGGCATTGGTCTCTCAAGGGACTTGCAAATCATGGTCAGATATCTACAGAATTTTCATTTCTTGATAGTTCAATATTGAAGGAACAAAATATCATCTAAAGATCATAATTGAGAGATCAAAGGTGAGAGCAACAAGTGGCGTTAATGGCCTGCCATAAGTCCAACTTAAAGTCGATCTTAGTCTTTGAGAAACACTCCCCAGGACCACCATTCTAGCAAAACTGTACAATAACGAGCATGTGAAGTAAAACAAAATAAAAAAAATACTGTTCTGTATCATGAATCATATGACGAAAAATATTAAACTGTCATCCTGTCCCTTTGAAAATCTTGGCCCACTTCTGAGTCTGCAAGAGATACTTATTGGGACCTTCTGGCCCATAATCTAGATAAGTATAGTTATTGAACGTCTTTGGTACGGCTCTTTCTATCTGTGTGCCTTCATGCCATTCATTGAAGGAAGTCAAGGAAATAAGGTCTGGTTTTACTTTCACCGCCGCCTGCAGAGACCTATCATAGTAGTCTCCATCAGAGCGGTGTTTCGTATTCATTTTATTCCACGGTCTTACCCGGGTGTCCACGTATCCCGGTCCGACGCTGGGGACGAAGAGGAGGTCGCGCTTTTGCGCAAAGTCTGCCAGGAGCTTCCAGTTCTTCCAGCGGGAACCGTACGTGAATCCGTTGCTCGCGAAATACGTGTAGAAGCCGTCGAAGAGACTGCCGAGGATGTCCGACCTATGCTGCGTATCGAGGTAGAGACCGAGGAAGATCCCGTCGTAGATGGAGTTCCTCAAGCTCAGCTCGTCGTTGATTCCGAAGAGCCGCGCCCAGTCTGAGGAGTTGGTGAGGTAAGAGTCGTACACGTAGAACATTGGTAGCAGGCGACCTTTGAATTTGTAGCGGTAGAAGGCAGGGTGCATGCCGTAGGTGTCAATGATGTACCGGACGTCTTCCCGGAATGTGACCTCAGATCGACCTTTGTAGGGTTCACAGTGAAAGGTCATCTGTAATAATAGAATGGAGACAAAGTGTAAATGGTGAAGTTCACCCCTACTAAAAAGGACAAACTCGATTTGATTGATATACATGTATAATGTCTTCATTAATTTTATTGAATAAATTTGTATTCAATTTCATGAAGCTCAAATTTATTATGAAAGATTAAATTTGTGTATGTACTTATTATGTCCAATAATGTATTTTGTTTGTTTAAATCCCTAAATAAGGAATTAAACTAAAATATTCTCCAAAAGAAAGAAGAATCATTATGCTACAAACAAATTCCTGATCTACAATCTTTCATTTATCTACAATGTTTTTAAAATAAAAATACCAACTATGTTCTTTCTTTTTGAATTAATGTATACCATTGATTACATGAAAAAGACTATACATGTACAAAGTATGATACACAATCAAACAATTGACTCATGAAAGGAGTAGGAGAATACATTGTATGTACGAGTTTACAGGTATAGGGAGGAGCGAAGAGGGCAGTATAAAGAATAGAAAAATACATGCATATACATTATTATATTATTATTATTACCATCATATTTGGGAGAAGTTTTTTTATTTTTTAAGTAGGAGAAAATATGAAATGCAGAAGAAACAGAGTGATTCAGATAAGAAATACTGACAGAAAGGGTAAAGTTTGACAAATAACAAATGATGAATATCTAGAAGAAAGTATTCACAGAAACTATTGAATTAGAAATCAAACATAACATTTAAAAAACAATATCATTCCAAGTTGCAGCCAAGCAAAACAATACAAATTCAATTAATGTTGAAGCTGCAGTAGTGAGGGGAGGGGGAGATGTGAGGAGGAGAGATGTGAGTTAGAGGGGAAGAGGAGGAGATGGGGAGGGAAGAGGAGTAGCGAAAGGGAAGGGACAGATAGAGGAAGAGGAGGGGTGGGGGCTAGGGAGAGGGGGAAGAGGGAGAGAGACGGGGTGAGGAGAAGAAAGAGGAGAAGAAAGGGGCAAAATAAGTGCATTAATAATAAAGTCAAACATCAGTCCTATTAAGTCCCCACGAATCCGAAACACCCCATGACCAAAGCTCTGTAATACCTCAGTCACACTTTTGCGTATTTGGCTTGCCTATTGCTGGGTAATATGGAAAGCCGTTTTCACATTTATTTCTATTTCTTGATATCAAGAAATGATTTTTTTGTTGTAAAGCAATGGTAATTCTTGATATCAAGAAATAGGAATAAATGTAAAACGGCTTGCCATAAATACGCAGCAATACGCAAGCCAAATACCCAAAGGTGTGACTGAGGCATTAAGCACACACACCTTGATATTATACTTGAGAGCCATACGTAGGTACAGAGGAACCATGTCGTCACTAGGATTACCCGCGTTGTCCGCTTTGGATGCAGGGTACCAGGAGTACACTATTACACCTGGACAATATTACATATTAAAGAAAAGACCATATACTGGGCAACTTTAAAGCTATAAGTTTAAATTGTTATTACAGTATATCTGAGCTTAAATCAGAGAGAGACTAATACCAAATGAAATGGTATGGTAATTGATGGTAAAAAAATATGGTAATTTCAAGTAAATTATGTTTATCATCTATTATGCTTAGTATACATGGGTACAAATTGGACCAACATAAAAAAGTTACCCACATTGGAGATAGTCAAACTTTTTAATGAGGGTGACAGAGTGGAAAGATGAAAGGTCACATGCCAAAGCTGGTGTGCAATGAGGTTAAAAGTTAAATGTGATTACATCATGACATGGTACATTTTAATGCATACATATGAACATCACACAAGGTTTGGGCAACACATACATGTACAAAACAAAGAGACAACATATTATCAAATGAAATGCAAACGAAGGTAGAAAATATGTACATGGATTAGAGACGGAGTGGGACCACATTATGCGTTTGAAGATGAAATTAATTTTTCATGTGAAAGGATTATTTTGTAATGACATTGTGACAAACAATCATATATTACAATCACAAGCTTGACAAGACAAGTAAAAACAAAAAAATAACAGGTATACGGTCATGCAATGTTTGTGCTGGTGCAATGTACATTAGAGTTTATAGAGGTATAGGAGAATGAAGGATAAAGGGAGAGGAGAGAAGGAGAGATAAATAAGAGAAATTTAAGACAAAGACAAACTTAGAGACAAAGAAAAGAAGAGAAAGGAAAAGAGCTAGAGAGAAAACATAGTAAGAAAATGAAAGAGAGAGTCAGAGAAAGACGGATATATAAAGCAGGAGAAAGAGAGAGAGTTTTGAAGAATGATAGTGAATGAAAAAAAGAGAAAAAGCCAGAGAGAGAGAGAGAGAGGGGGGGGGGAGATATATAATAGAGAGAAAGATGTAGAGAAAGTGATATAGAAATAGAGATAAAGAGTACAGGGTCACGTCTTTATTAAAGAGTTGATATTAATCGCAACTCTGTACATGTGCATGTACAAAAGAGATATGGGGACTGCAAACTTGCGACAGATTCGAATCAATTGCAACTCTTTATAAGACGGGGGCACAGGTATATATTATGAGAGGGGAGCGAGAAAAAGAGATAGATAAATAGGGGAGGATTATACCGGTACCTTGATCTTGTATTTGTGAGCCATGTCAAGATATGTAGGCATCATGTCATCGCTAGGCTTGCCTTGGTCGTCCGCTAAGCCTGCTCGATACCATGACATGGATATTACCCCTACACACCAATAAAAAAAAGCAGTGTAAAGAAGGAAAGATGTGCATACAGTCAATTGATGAAGTAAAAGCAGATATATTTGTATGTGAGATTTATGAAGCTAAGGTCATGTACAGTACATGAAGCTTGGGCAAATGCTTACTGTATGTTCCTAACTTTTAATAACATCCCATCTGTTCCTGATTTATAATATTAAAGCCCTACCCCTCCCCCCCCCCCCTCCCTCCCTTTTTATTTCTTCCAATTTTTGTGGATAAAAAATGAAAGCAAAAATCATAAGAATCGACTCGAGCATCCTTGCTTATGATAGTTGGCCTCTGCATTTATCTTGATTATTTTTACTTACCTCCATACTGTCAAGTTTTCAATTATGCATTTTTATTTGTGTGTATTTAAGTTGTCACTCTTTATTTAAATCAATTATATTATATACTATTATTGTTATTTGAATGTTTTACATTTGATATATCAATAAATGCAGAAACATCAGCTAAAAAAAATTTTTTTTTAAATGATATGACTATTAAGACTAGGGATCCATTTAATCTGGCCTGATGAATAGCAAAATATTAATAATTCAAGTTGGTTGAGATGTGAGATTATTGAGAAGTCTACCGTAATTGCTTTCATGTATGAAAGTGTAATATGAAAGAAATGAGAGTTGAAGATATATCCTGACTATTAAAGTCATGAATTTCCATGTTCAACTGGTGAACAAGTCATTTGAATATAAAAACCAAAGGACGGCTGTCTGCGCTCCAATCTGCATTCTGAAACCTGTGTGAGGTTGCAGTGTAATCAGGATGAGGTTGCAGTGTGATTAATACTATGTGGCGTTACAGACAGAAAATAACTTTAAATGAATGCTGATCCAAATGACTGAACAGCTGATTGAAAAGCTCTTGAAAGACATGACATGAAAGCAATTTTTATGGCATTTTCAAAATGTGGTATACTTTACATGTCCAGGGGAGTGTTTTACAAAGACTAAGATCGTCTTAAATTGGACGGACTCAAAACTATGGCAGGCCATTCATGCCACTGCTTGCTCTCATTATTCCTGGCATAAGTCTCTCAAGGGACATACGAATCTACGGAATCTACATTTTTGGGTAGTAAATTATTAAGGGAAATATAACTAAAGATTATAATTTCTAAGATTTTTCCTCTAATTTTACATCTGGTTCACGACATTTTAAGGGCATACATCGCCCTTTAATAGGGAAGATGTAACAAAACAAACAAGACACAGCCAGGAAATGATTTAAATATGCCAAATTTAGGTTAAGAATTCAAAATAAAAATCCATTTTAATACCTATGCCTGCTAGCCTCAGCTGTTTCATGTGGTCCTCGATCACAGCTGGGTTCCTGGAGCTATAGGGACCTAGCTGGGGATAGAAGTTAGCTCCAATCTCTCCTGGAGGTTGCCACCTTCCCGAGGGCCACTTCTTGGCCTCCTTCTCGCTCCAGTGTCGGAGAATCTCGTGATTCCAGTGGAGGTACGTCTTGTCAAACTCTGGGCTGCCGTACCATGGATAGTAGAATGCATGAAGGTTGTAATTTGGCGGGGGCCACGTGGCAGGGTCGTCCCAATCTGCCGTCTCCTGCATATTTGGCATGCCTGGAATCTTTGCATGTGTTTTGTTAGCAGTGTTTTTCATTTTAGCTAACGCCGCAAGTAGCTCGATAGGCTCACCAGACCTCGATTTGAGGGTTTTGTTCCTGCCTCGGGCAACACTCTCATGAATCTGCATGATGTTACTCTTTTCCTTCAGGTGCTCTCTTGAGTTGTAATCGCGACCTTCGTCTCTGCGAAGAGCGCCCTCTTTCTTGACATGTTGCACAGCATTTCTCGCTGCTTCCACCTCCTGGTTGGAATCCACCTTCATGAGGCTGGAGATTGCCATGAAGCAGCCGCCCAGGAAAGTGACGACGATGACCACGCTGAAGACCCTCCACATCTTTCGGTTCCTGCAGAGCCCCATGATTGGTTTTTCTATTTTTCGCTCCCTGCAAGGACGCTCTAGCTGCATTGTACGGTGGCTTCAGATATCACTTTCATCAGCTCATGCTCCTGTACTGATGGAATATGTTATACCATGCTGTAAAGAATCCTGCAGTAAGAATAAAGAGAGTGATTAGTAAATTACTTTTTAATTATACTGTAAGCAGTATAAAATAAAGTGTTTAATCAAAGGGAACTGTACATATAAGATCTACTTCTAGAAGCAATTTTTTCATGTTAAATCTCAATACTCTGTCCATGTTTTTAAGCTGGTTGACCGGATTAAATTTCAAATTATTCCTGTTGACACTCTTTCAAGTTTCAAGTCTTGTTCTTGCAATCTATATGCATCCATGTATGGTTACTTAACCCAATACCAGACATCCCGTAAATGTCTGTATACAGTATCTTCCAAATGTATTAAAATCATATGCTTAGAAAGGTCAATGCATTTTAATGTGTTGACCATGTAGTACATGTACATGTGCATGCACTTGTTACCCAGCTCAACAAGCTTACAGCAGCCTGCATTTACGCTTCACAGCCACAGCCATGGTTATGTAGAGGTGTCGTGGACGAGTGGATATGTCACCAGACTGTGGATCACAAGGTCCGCGGTTCAAGTCTCACCGCGGCACTAATGTCCTTTGCCAAGACATTGATCTACATTTTGCCACTCTCTACCCAGGTGTTAAATGGGTACCAGGTAGGATGCGAAAGCTAATGTGGTTAGATTAGCAAGTGTGCGCTTGTAAAAATAATGCCTGGCTGGAATGCTCCCCAGGGAGTGGAGAATGTGCATACATTGTGTGCGGGTAAGCCTGAATCCGATGACTGGGGTAATAATATATATATATCTGTAAAGCGCTTTGAGAGGGCGTTCGGTCCTGAAAAGCGCTATATACATGTAGATATACATGTAGCTATTATTATTATTATTATTATGTGTCCATACAGATATCATCTGGATAGTTGATTTAAATCAGTAATTAGCAATTCGTAGTGTACAACTTAGTACAAGCAATATTTCATAAATCTTTGTGTAGGGGTGACCAAAGTTCGTAGACATTTTGAAAGTATAGGAGAATGTGGTATTCAATCTATGATTTCTCATATTCTACACAAATTTGTTAATTTTAATTATTACCAAATGGATGGCAAAGTTTTTTACTACAAATTGGATCAACTAGAATATTTATCGTCAAAAGGAATCCAGAGATATCGCGATCTAAAGATTTGATGTCGGATCCGCATGCGCGCTGCAACTAAAAAAGTCACAAAAACAATGAGACCTTACTTCGCGCACAGGGGTTTACAGCTGATTTATCAAAAAATATGATCCATCAAAAATAAGGTAATATATTAATTTGCAAGGCAAGACATCATACAAATCAGTTGGTACCACTTTTTACTTACAATTTTCAGGATATCTGCTCTCAAAATGAAGATTTCCAAAACCTGATCGGTAAGTTAATAATTTTTTTGAACGAACGCAAATGACTGCAAAATTTGCTGATCTTTTGTCAATATTTTCACAATTCGGCAAACAATTTCACAGAAAATTTTGTCTCTGGGAAATTTTATATTCCCCTTCCATTGTAGCCCGAATTTTCTGTCTCTTTCGTTCGTTAGCCTCTGATTTGGGTAGGGTCGGCTCCTCTCTTTACAAAGCTAGAGCCGACCCTACCCAAATCAGAGGCTAACGAACGAAAGAGACAGAAAATTTGGGCTACTTCCATTGGTGATTTCAGATCTTCGAAATTTTACCGATTTTTTGAGACACCGAACTTAGGTCACGCGCAAACTATGGTCACACTCACACCACCATCCAACAATAGAGAGGATGGTTATAGTTGAATGAATATTTCCTGTTAAATCCAAAGGCAAAAGAAAAGTTTTCACTCTTAGGCCCGAATTCACAAAGGAGGTTTGTTGACAAACTAGTTTTATGTGCGTCACGAATTCATACGACATGTTTGTCATAAATGTTAGGTGTCCAGACACCCATGCAACCCCCAATCATAATGCCCTCAAAATAAGTTTAAAAGATAAATTCAATTTCATTCAAGTATGATCTGATGATCAGATGTGTGATTTAGATCTACATCTCTCTCGATCGAAATCTTGTCACACTCACTCTCACACTCGGTCATGATAATTGCTACACTGTAATAGACCCTATGTTCAATATCACTAGAAAATGGGATTATTCATTTTTAGTATTTTACAGTGTTATCCAATTTGTTATGCATTTTCAGTCATAAAATGTACAGCATATAAAAATGAGACGAGTCTGGCCAGGTTACCCGGCCTTCGACCTCCAGCCATCACAAGAAGGGGCTGAGGCCTGAGCTGAGCTGATCATGATACAACACAGACAAGATATCCGCCTCGTTTCGTCCGTTCCTACCCCGGCAGAAGCGGCTTAGGTGGGGATGGCATCCACCTCCACCGACCCGGGCCCTGACTCTAGTCTACTAGTATTCTAGTATTCTCCTGCAGGAGGATTTATGTTTGCCTACGAAAGCGACCAGTGCCATTAGTTTGTGTTTGACTTTATTGTATAACATTTCAGAATAGTCTAAAAGCTTAGAGAATCAGAAATAAGACTATGGGGGGTAATACAAAATTACAAATCTACAAAATACTGAATGTTTACCTCTCGGTAGTCCACCCTCTTCTGATTGTAGAAGCTAGATTTCAGCAAAGAGCTTCAAAACCGAGAGAAATTAATATGAATTTCTTTCGTAGTATAATACGTTCGGCAAGCGGAGATTGCTGATGTGTAAAGAAAACGGGCTCGAGAAGGTACGTTCCTTGTCTCAGCCCCTCTACGTGAAAACATTCGGCCTCAGTATAATTGTCTAAAACCTAATTCCATATTTTCAAAGTCTGATTTTTGTATGATCTCGAGCAGGAATGAATAGTTCGAAACTTTAACAAAATCTTTGTTTACAATTATATGACATCCTTAATCCCTTTGCATGGTTTTGACAAAGTGTTAAGTTGCAGGCAAATTTGGCGATCGACGATTCTCAGCTAGGTGATAAGATTTCTCATATAATGTTATTGAAATTACATAAAATGAGACTTTCATAAAATTTGAGAATGTGGGAAAAAAAATTCAATGGATGCTTTTAAACTGGAAGAGATCGACCCCGCATAATAAAATACCTCCTCTACTGAAAGTCCTTTAACACAAAATTCAACTTCCTTTCGGGTTAAAACGTGAAAAAGAGTTTCAGAAGTATTAATTATCTCCTTACATTTCCTGAAATTACGTTAAAAGCAATTTAAATTAAATTTTCGAATTTTGGAAAGGCTATAAATAATGACACATCGAAATGTTGAAATGACCTTACATAAATCCCGCGTGGTTTAAACAACTGAAAACGGGTATCTAAAAAATTGATTATAATTCCTAAAGGATTTATTTAGAAAAATGATTTATAAACGTTTGTTGCTATCTAGATCACAATAGGCCAGACAGACGTACAAAGACCTTTAATATTGAAACAGAGCCCCCACTTTTTCGAGTACCCCCAAATTGCCACTTTTTACTTCTGATAAGTACACGTTTTTTCTTTGGAATAAGTGCCCCTTCCCCCCTTTTCGTAAATACCCCTTATTTTACGTAGAAAACGTGCGCCTTTTTACATCAGATACCGTGCCCCTTTCCTTTCGAACAAGTGCCCCTTCCCCTTTCCATGAGTGCCCCCTTTTCACCTCTGATAAATTTTCCTATTAGTCTAATCTGAAAGTTGCCCCTTTTACTCTAACTAATGCCCCTTTTAATTTGTAATGAACACCCTATTTTTCTTTCTTATAAGTACCCCCTTTCAGGTGCGAGAAATGTCCATTCCCTTTATTATAAATGCCCTTTTCACCTCTGATAAGTGCCCCCATCCAAAAATGATAGGTGCCCCTTTTACTTTGACAAGTGCCCCGTTTCGTTTGTAATAAGTGTATATTTCCATTTTATGAAGTGGCCCTTTTCATCTCTGATTAGTGCCCCTTTAAGGTGTTAAAAATACACCTTTTCAGCTCAGAGACACATTTTTAAACATTATATTGGCTCATGCCCTTTTGAACTTCAAAGAATTCCGAGGTAATCGATAGCTCTGTGTTCAGGAATATAAAGGTTTAGATAATGTAGGAGTTTTCAAGTTAAAAGCAATTTCATTTTAAAAAGACTGAGACATCTTGATCACCATAATATGTTATTATGTCAAGATGTTTTTATCACCTCTCATCTTCCCCGAAACAATAGATTGTTCATATCCTCCTAGACACTAGGCGCGTACGCAGGTGGTGGGGGGGGGGGGGGGGGGGAGGCTGGCTGGCTGAGTAATGCGAAATTTTCGGTGCGATTTCCAATTTTACCCCCCCCCCCCCCCCCCTCTCGAAAATCCTGCGTACGTCTTGCTCCTAGATATGGGATTTTTTTTTTACTTTGAGGTTACCCTTTGTAGGTCCCTACAGCCCCCCCCCCCCTTTTTTTCTCCTTCTTTTCTTTCCAGAAAGTGGCATTTTTTGGTGGTGCATCCCCACATTACAAGACGCTCCGCCGCCCCTGTGCTTTATATTTTTAAAGAAATCAAGATTTAAAGATGAAAGTGAAGTTATGGTCAAGGGATTACATTGTGAAAGAAACTGTCTGGGAAAGGTCGATTCTGTACTTAGGTTTTGGAATCATTCAAAATAACAAAAATGACTCTGCTTCGATGTACAGTACATTATGTGGCAGAAATCTCTGTTCCAAACATTTACCTACTCCTTGATGACGTATAACGAATAAGAGAGCATTTGAAAACAATCTGTTAAAGATAAGCTCCAGTTCTGGTAATGGTGAGGAAAAAAAACATTGAAACAGTTTCTATTCAAATTCACACCAATTGTTTTGCTAAAGGAATTTGAATGAAATTGTGTAATTGTTTCAAAAGTGTAGCATTAACAAAATTAGAAAGCATATTAACCCCCTCCCCTTTAACCCTGCAGAACTCAATCTTTTCAATTCTTTTTAAAATGTTAGGTGTGTACAGACAAGAGTAATGCGCAACAGCGGTTCTATAAAAGGGTGTGGGCTGGAGGGGGGGGGGGGCACCCCCCCCCCCCCCACTCCGAGAACAACGGACCCCATGCGTGTTACCAAAATGTCCGGTAAAGGGGTACTTTTCGTGCGACAAAGTCCGGCCCGAGAATTGTAAAAAAAAAAAGGGGTTTATTAACTTTTCACCCGGAGATTTCTTTAAAAAGGGGTGTTTTTTCTTTTTTTCTCTCATCTCTTTGGACTCCTGAGAAATTATTCCGAATTTAGGGGGGTACATTAAGCATTTTTCATGATTTAGAGGGGTCTCCTAGGCAGGAAAAGCCCGCGAAAAGCCCGCGAAAGGGGGGGGGGGGTTCGGAAATGTTGGCAGTCCTCAGATAGGGGGTGCTTTCAAAAAGAGGGAACGAGCATATGCGTACCCTAAATAACACTGAGTGGGGGGGGGGGGGCTCAAGCTCTCGTTTTAAACATTCAAGTCCCCCTCGAAATTGTTGATTATAAATTAATTCAAGGGAGTGCAAGAAACGCTGGCCACCCCCCCCCTCCCCCCCCCCCCCCCCCCCCCCCCCTCAACAAAATGTGTTGTACAGAACCGCGTGCCTGGATGCTGGTCTTGACCGATCGATTGTTTGCACATATCGGTCAAGGCAAATAACATAACAATATTATCCAATTCCCCTTGATATCCTGCCAGAAGGCTATTTAGATACAGGCTTTTAATCAGCTAGAGGCGGATCCAGGATTCTCTTGCCGGGGGGGGGGGGGGTGCGATATGCCACTTGACATCGTTCCTCCCTCTGGATATTATTATGCTATAAAACGTTTTATGATTTGCACAGTTGAATGATTTCGTTCGTGGTCACCTCACGGAAGTATAGCAAGGGTTTCAGGGCATTCGAAGGTATATAAGCCGATCATAATTTGTAATAGTAATATTCTCCTCCACAATTCCAATGGGAAAGTTGCTCTCATGTGCCTGGAGGGGGGGGGGGGATAACCCGAAAAAAAGATTAATATGATTCACCAGCTGTATGAGTCTTTATAACCATGAACCTAATACTAGGTTCATGCTTTAACGGCCATCAGCCTTTGATGTCAGTTTATTACCCGGGTATACGGATAGGTGTACAATTACAATGAATGTTTGCCCTTTAGCTTGCTGAACCGTGATAAGAAAAAAAAGGCTTTATGGCTGTCGGGAGGGTTGTATACGTGTATCAAAGTACTTCTCATAGGGCACGTATAATGTGTATAAGCTAACTTGCAACACACATCCATTCGCCTATCTCCTCCTAGCTATTTGGTGAGTTTAACCATGGCCTTTTCATGTCCACATAATTTATATTTTCAATTGTATGCATGTTGACTTATTATAGGCTAAAGTACAATCATGTCTCGAATTAATAGCTCATTGCATGGGTTATAATTATAATGTATATAACTTATGTTGTTTGGTGCGACTCCAGTCCATGATAGGCCTATAATATAGGTAAGTAGAAGTAGACTACTGATTTTTTTGTTTAAAGGGAAGCGGACTAAATGAGAAAATACGTTATGAGTAATCGAAAGTTATACAGGCTTAGGGGTCGACTCATGGGAACGTCAATTATTGGCTGAATGGGTAGTGTCAGACATCTTTGCCCTTTTAAGCAGAGTGTGAAAGTCAAAATATCACGCTTATATTTTTTAGTCGTCTAGCTGCCACTACTACCACACAAAATAAGCACACCTTGTTCATTTGAAAGATTTTATCATAATACACAATAGTTCCGATGTGTTTTTTTATTTGTAGCGAACACCCCTAAATCTGAGGGGGCGTCCAAAAAAAGGGGCCATTTTGACGAAAAATAGTATTTTGTGAATAATAACATGAAACTTAAATTTACATTGTACATATTACATTTCAGATGAGTTGGCTCGACATGTGCCAGCAGCCGAAGGTACAACTTTTCATTTCATTTTTTGAGAGGGGGGGGGGGGGGCGTTTCTAAAACTGGTCCTTACCTTTAATGTTCTGTGTCTTATTTGAGTGTCTTATTTCATATACTGTAACTTTTTAATTTGTTCAAATGCATTTGTAAATTGTGAGTAATTTAGCCTTTAGTTCCCATTCACAAGTTGTAATACACTATTAATATAATTATCTACGTACAATTTGTATGAACAGACAACTACTCTGAAAAGAAAGCAGTACAAATCAAAAAGGCAAACTGGAAAAAGTTTGAATGATATCGCAGACAAAAAAAGAAAGTTATGGATTTTTGAAAGTTGTAATCTGTATACGTGTGGGCATCGGAAAATTTTCCCATTTGTTTCAACTAAAACATATCTAAAATATATGACTAGTGTTATAACTAGTGTTTTATGTAGACGACAAACGGGAAAGTAGCTTACGTCACAATTCACTGAACAAATAGACAATCAAAGATTTGCATTTACTGGTCTCATTTTTCAAACATTTATCCTTTAATATTGGTCAATTTTTTTTCAAAATTTCGCCATTCTGTTTCTCTTATTTTTCTGCTCTCATACAAACTTATTGCAAGCGTTGGACTGCTCTTTAAGTATTTTAAAAGCAAATTTTCGATGCAAAAGGCACCTGACGATTAGAATAGTAGAATATTAAAGATTAGAATAGGGAAAGATAATTAAAGAGTAAAAAAGCTCCCCTCAGAATATTGACTTTTGTTTGGGAATCAACTTGTTTTAATATCATTTCAATAGGTGTTACTTTCAAATACAGCCCTCGTCTCAAACAAATATATTACCAGTTCAGATGAACGTTTATGATAGTAATCTAATTCCCCTTTTTTCTTCTTTTTCCTCTATTTTTCGCTCGTCAGAAAAAGAAATCTGAACTGTAGAATCCCTTTTCCAAATTCTTGGATACACCTCTGACAGCACTCATGAGTAATCAGGACAGCGCCCTCTTAAGGCGGTCTAAGGATGCAGCTGGAGCCAAGATCGATGAGTCCGCTGCAGCCTTGCATGAACTTAGCAATGACATCTGGACTCACCCAGAGTTAAACTTTGAGGAACGCCATGCCCATGCTAGCCTGACAGACTTTCTCGAACGGGAAGGCTTTGAGGTATATTCAGCCACGGTTCTAAAATATTATATTATAGCAATAACATTCTGACTATTTGTAATCTATGTATATATATTTTTTTCAAGTCAATATATTTAAATGTTACAAAAATTATGTTTGTCATTATTTTGAGGGATCCATATTTTCCAAGCTCTGCTTTTCAGTGGATCTCTCCATTTCCACAGGTTTATCTTTAAAAAACTTAAAAAAAAAAAACCCTTACACTGGATATTTATGTATACTTTCTATTTCATAACTTTAGGCCATGTAAAATGTATTTATTATTGAATGTTGAATTGTATATCTGATTTCTTGTCAAAATTACTGTTCTGTTGGAAATGAAAAATAAAAATGATATTGAAACTGAAGAGGCCTATGCATATTCTGGAATGACGAACCAGCAGAATATAACGAACTTTTTGAAGTAGCGATCGAACCTTTGGAGAAAAAAAAAGACATTGGGGTAAATGAGTCTTGGGAATAAAACAAACCTTTGGAAATTAGGGGTATATCGGTAGGCCTTTCATCAAAATTAAAAATGGCAAATGGGGAAAGAAAAGAACTTAAGGAAAGGGAGGGGGATCAAAAAGGAAAATGACCCTTGCACTGCCAAGCCTTCCTCCTAATCGCTAGCCCTGTCATTTTCATATTTCATTCATCGAGTAAGGGGCCATGTCCCTCAATGGCTGGACAATTTCTACGCCAATGGTGATTGTTCATATTTGTTTAAGAAACAAATAATAAGAGATTTTGTAAAAAAAATAAAAAATAATAATTATGATACCTGTGATCGTTATCAAAGTATTCTTAAGACCCCATGCAGAGGAACTTATATCTTTTGAAGGTATTTCTTTCTTCTTTATTACCTTGTATATTCCAAGATATGAATGTATTTACACATGACAAGTACAATAAATACATCATTAAACCAACCAACCAACCAATCAATCAAGCAATCAATCAATCAATCAACCAATCTATCTTAAAATCCAATTAATTCATTTCTAAACGAGAGTATAAAACTCCTTTTGTCATTTTTAACGTGTAATGTAATGTAATTTTAAATGTGTTTTTTAACAATCCTTTTAACGTGTCAATATTTAAAAATGCGATTTATCACTTTTTCATGTCAACATTTAAACATGAGCAATCCAGCTTCTGCTGCTTTTCATGTAAAATGACAATTACGATGCATGTATTTTGAATTTGCATAATGAACCATGATTGAATTGAATAAATCAATAAATCAACCAATCAATCAATATATCAACCAACCAACCAACCAACCAATTAATCAATCAATAAATCAATCAGCCATTAAATCAAGTAACATTCAATGTTTGTTCGTTGGTTTACTTTTTTTAAGGTCACGAAGAACTTCCATCTTGAGACAGCATTTAAGGCTACATATGGGACCGATGGTGGTGTCCATGTGTGTGTAATCTGCGAGTACGATGCTCTTCCTGAGATTGACCACGCCTGTGGACACCCCCTGATCGCTGAGTCTGGAGCAGCTGCAGGGCTAGGGATCAAAGCCGCACTCGAGCTGGCCGATGCACCGAAAGGAAGGGTATGCTAAGTAGATGGCCAATAAATCAATCAACCAATCAGAACAATCAATCAATCAACCAATCAATCAATCAACAAGTATCATTTTTTTTAGAGTGAGGGTGTTAAAGCACACAACCACTACGGAACTTCAACCTAGGAGGATAACCTATTTGAAAACTACCATCATTTGCGGATCCAGAACCCCCCCCCCCCGTATGCCTTAAATACGACCCAGAACAATAGAAGGTTTCCTCTAATTGTGCCCCTGGCGGCTGCAATAGGTTCGACCACAGAAGGCGCCCAATAAATGTGATTGTGATGGGCTTTTCAGCTAGTGAATATTCATGTCATTAGGCAAATTATTATAGTATGATAATTATTATATCAACAAGTTTAATTGTCATACAATCATTTCAACACAACAACACAGGTCACAGTCATGGGTACCCCTGCCGAAGAGGGCGGAGGCGGGAAGATTAAAATGATTGAAACAGGAGCCTTTCAAGGAATAGATGTCGCTATGATGGTACATCCCTACCCGCGTAATGTATCCAGACCAGTCATTCTGGCTTGTACAACGTAAGTTTTTTTCCTTCCTTTTCCCCCTTTTTAGCTTTTTATTTTTTTTTTTTTTAAAGAAGAAGTATATGGAACATATTCGCAAAGACTTTCAAGAAAACTTCTCGAGGGAAACATCCGTACCTTACTGTATATCCTAGATCTAGAGATATCATATCATGATTATTCAATAATATACATAATTATATTATACGCAGATTAAAAAAAAATGATGGAACTGAAATTGCCCGGCCTTAATATTTCTCCACAGTCCTTAGTAAAGTGTTAATCGGGCTTATATGAAACAGGTTAAAGTCATAAAGTGATGATGCAGTGACATAAACATATTGAAAACTTAACGTATAGTGACGTTTATTTATTTATTTATTTTATTTTATTTAGATCACAATTTAGTTCACCGCAGATATACCTCTTGGGGGGGGGGGGGGGGTGTAGTTGTGGGAAGGGTATTGGATGTGATGCCCCAATGAAAAGTATTATATATCACATGATACGTTAATTTGGAAAGAAGAATTACATTGAATTACATGTACTGAATGGCTAAATTTTAATACCTATAAATAATTATCGGCTGTCCGACCAAAATTTGATTGTAATGGGAAAATGACCTCGTGATTGGGGAGTGGATCTCAAGGGAAACTTCTAATTAAACCGTCCGATTTCTGGTATCCCCTTCCGGACCCTTTATTTTGTGTCTAGTTGATTTAGCAAAATTCAGTCATAGCAATATAGTACATAGTTACTTAGCTTTCGATGTCAACGCCGCCCTTTTTTTAGAAGACAGACGCTACGCCACTGTATCATACCAAATCCACCTATTTTTTTAAAAAAATCCTAGGATGGAGATAACGTTCACTGGTCGGGCAGCACACGCATCGTCATGCCCGTGGGAGGGGGTGAACGCTTTGGATGCGGCTATCTTGTGCTATCAAAACATCTCCGTCATGAGACAACAACTTAAGCCTGAGTGGAGGGTCCATGGTAAGCATTGAATTGGCTGAGGTGGGGGGGGGGGGGGGGGGGGGGGGGGGGGGGGGGGGGGGGGGGGGAGGGAGGAGGGGGGGGGGGGGAGGGGGAGGGGAGGGAAATTATCAGGGTTGATGCACTGTTTGTAATGGGTCCCCCGCTGTAAAATGTGAAATAATATCAGGTTCAAATATCAATATCGTTTACAGCATAGACGTACTGGCCCATTTTGAAAGGTGGTTGATATCCTTTCCCGATTAACGTGTAGTAAAATTTTATAATTCAAAAGATTATAGCACCGCTAAATTAAAGCTCATTAAACAACACCAATATGGTACAGGTGATATCACTTGATGTACGTGGCTGAATAGTTCTACTAATTTAACTTCTGTACTTTGTATAAATACCCACACCCCTCTATTGTTTTTTTTTTAAATTATAATTATTTTGCCTACATATTGAACAAATTTCACTCTAACGCATTTCTTTTTCACGAGACTTATTACAAACATCGTCCCTAAAAGAGTCTGTATCTAACTGTCGTTCATGATATCAAGCCTAGCTGTTATCTCGATAAGTCTATTGAACCTTCAGATTAATTACATCATCACTGGATGGACACACTGGTATTATCAATTACTAATCTTATAATGACTAACGTGGTTCCTCATTTATATCTCCCTCCAGGCGCGTACGCAGGGGGGGGGGGGTTAGGGGGTTAACCCCCTTTGGTATTTTTTATGTGTGTATTTTTAAGAAACCCCCCTAAAAAAAAAAAAAAAAAAAAAATTATGCCCATGGCTCACCTAAAAAAGATGACCTTACCACCCCAACGAAGTGTCCTCCTACCCTCCCCCCCCCCCCCCTCCGCTTATTCAGCGGCTGGCTGAGTCGTTGCGAAATTTTCGGCCCGATTTCAAAATGTTAACCCCCCCCCCCCCCCCCCCCCCTTGAAAAAATCCAGCGTACGCCACTGTCTCCTCCTTTCAGGTACCATTATGAAGGCAGGCGACACTCCCAGTATTATACCCGAGGAATCTCAGATGAGCTTCTATTTAAGAACGGTAGACAGCGTTGACATGCCCACACTCAAGGAAAAGATCGGCGGATGCGCAAAGGGAGCAGCAACAGCGACGGGATGCGAGGTAAATCCGAGGGAAGCCAAGAATACACGAACTAAAACCGATTTATACCCGAGACACACCGACAGACTCTAGCTCTTGTCGGTGTGACCGGGTAGCATATGATGTGTCCTTAAAGAGGAAGATTTAAAATGTATTAAGCATATCCAAAGCCGAAATGACACCCCCTCTCTCCCCTCTTAAGGAAAAAATAAGGGGGATTTGGGAAACAACCTTCTTTTTTCCCCTCCAATTATTGAAGGAAATAATCATTTTAACAGCTCAGTATAGCTTTAACATTATTGCCCGATTCTGCAACACTATATCGAGATATCCGTAGCTTTAAGCCATCGATAACAAATATAGAAGTAAGAAAGAGAGACATTGAAAGATAAGAAATGTAGGGACAGAAGTAAAATGTGATTTAACTTTAGTATCACCAGGGATGGGGCTAAACCTTTAATTATCACGACACCTCTCAAAAGTAAAAAAAAAAAAAAACGTCTAGTGATGCCCTGGTGTAAATAATCAGTGCAGATATATAGCATTTACCAATTTTGTTTTGATATTTGTTGAATTGTATTTGCACAGGTAAAGTACTCCTTTGGAGGCGACTACGCCAATTTGGTCACCAACGATACATTGGCGTCGGTGTACGAGCGTCAGCTTACGGATCTCTCCGTCGACTACTCAACCAGTGAAGTGACGTTCTCTACCGATATGGGGGATGTTTCGTACGTGGTTCCAAGCATCCATCCCTTGTTTTACATAGGCACTGAAGCTGCTAATCACTCAAGGGAATTTAATACTGCAACGGGTAATATTCCAAAAAATCGCTAATAAAAAAAAATTAAAAAAAAAGGTTTAGCGTCCTGTCTTTTTGAAAATTAGGAAGGAGGAGGCCCTTTTTTTTCTTCAAAATGGCCGCTCGGTACATTTTTCCTGACAGTCTATTTTTCAAGATGGCCGCCGGCATTAAAAAAAAAAAAAAAAAAATCAGAAATAGAGCCATTTTAGCAGTGTTTTTCATGTTTTTTTTTTTTTAATTAAACAATTTTTTAAATTAAAAAAAAAAAAAAATTTAACGGAGGAGGCCCAAAAAGGAAGCCGACGGGGACGCTAAACATGTATATTTTGTTAAATGGCCATAAAAACATGTACTTAGATTATTGGTAGTGCATGTTGCCCATAAGAGACATCAAATCATGGTAAAACTACTACTTGTAGACGCCTTGAGCATCCCATGTGATGGATGTGTACATAATATGAATGTAGCTAATATTGTTATGTGTTAGTAGTATTAATCTGTATTATCATTATTGTTGTTTTTATTATTATAATTATTATCATAATTTTATATTATCATCATGATTACTTTGATTGTTGTTATTATTAATATCATTATCATCATCATTATTATCATTTATGTTATAATTATCATTATTGTTATCATCATCATTATTTTTATTATTATTATTATTATTATTAATAGCATTATTGTCTTGTCCTTCAGGTGCTGACGAAGCTCAGAAGCCAACGCTAGCCCAGGCTAAGGCCATGGCTTTCACGGGTCTCGAACTGATGCAGCCTGGTAACAGCCATCTCTTAGACAAAATCAAGAAGGAATTTAACAACAAAGTAGCCCCTAAATAATGATCGATGCCAGAAGATCAGAACCGGTGTACGATTCAATTCATCAGTCAGAAAAATTGAGGACTATACTCAGTTTTCGGCATAAGTAGAATACTTAGCTGGGATAAATGCTAAGTAAAACATTGTCACAATTCAAGACAGTGTTAAATTGAATACGGGCCCTGATCAGTGAAATCAGTGACGGATTCAGGGAAGGTGGTAATTATCTTTTTTAATAGCAACTCGCTCTCTCTCTCTCTTTTTTCTTCTTTTTCTCTGTTTTTTTAATCCATAATTTCGGTTTCTACTCATACTATATTTGTCATCATTTTGTATTATGATAATCAGATATTTGAAATACATGTATTTCATTTTAATTTACATAATGAATGAGAAGTTTTGACCGAATGAAAAAGAAAAAAAAATTGCTCTCTCACTTGTTATGTTATTTTAAACTGAGGGCTGCCAGCACATCAAGGTTCATGCTTACGTTGCATGTATGTAGCCCTCTTGTACCATGTTTATGTTATTCATATTGATTATTCATAAATCTTGTAACTTATTATGTTTTTTTAAAACATTTTCTATATGTTATGAATAATCATGTACCGTATTAGGAATAATGTATCAAATACAAATGACACATAAATGCACATAAATATGTATGTTCGAAAAAAAAATGCTAATGTCATTTTATTTTGTATATAAAAATTAATTTGGGAGTAAATAAATGTTGCTTTGAATTAAATTGAGATAGGTCTATAGAGTTTGATCCTTCTTGATTATGTGCTGTCAATTTGTTTGTGAGTTTTCATTCCATGTAGGAGATATTTCCTGAGGCACTTCGACCAAAATGAATCCCCACATTGGATTAACAGTGGACAGTGATAGGAGGAGGATGATGATAACCCATAACTTTTAAAAAGTTTGCATGCAAGGTTCAATCACAATAATTTTTCCAGAGATGGCAAAATACGACAGAACATAATGTATGGGGTCCGCTCGCTATTCATAAGGACGACTATTCATAAGAACCGCTATTCATAATTTGAGAAAAGGCTCGTTATTCGTAAGGACCACTATTTATAACCAAAGAAGAGGGTCGCCGTTTAGAACAACAAAGCACCAACGTGCTTCTAAAAATATAAACATTGCCAAGCTTTCACATAACTGAATAAACATAATTTCACGCGCCCCCACGCGCCGTAATTATTTATGACCGCGAATCCTTTAGCCGCGGACCAGATTAAACACATTTCCCAGGGCAATGTACGTGGCAATGAAAATCGGCTCGAACATAAAAACAGGCAGAAGAAAGCAGCCAAATCTGGTATCAACTTAAAGCATAGACATCACAGGAGGCGCGATAGCTCAGTCGGTAGAGCATTTGTCTCGTTATCCGGTGACCCGGGTTCGAAACCAAGTCGATGCGCTAGTGCCCTTTGGTAAGGCATTAATCTTTATTACCAGGTCCTCAGAGAGGACCTTTAATGTGAAATTCAAAGAAAATCACAAATATGTCAACTAATGTGTCACTAAAAACCAGTAAGTTAACAGATGGCCATCGTACAAGTTTTAGGTCAATTACATATCGGGTGATTTATAAAAATACAAATACAACCCCCTCAATAGCAGCTGGGATATACGAGAGATTCGCCGGAAAAATAACGATGTTTAATGACGTCACATGGACCAATACTGCCAAAGCAGACGACATCCCATAAAGAATGAACATAATTGCAAAGCTATTATTTGTCAAATTATAATGAGTTTATTGTATATAAATGTAATGGCATGCCAAACCATTCAAAAGAGAATATGACCCGATTCTGATAACTAAAATCTGTTGCTTATAAATACACAAGATAGGGGTTAATTAACAATCAAAGAAACCAGACTTTCAAATTGAACCCCCCCCCCCCCCATTATTATCATTACTTCGAATGTTTCCAAGCATTGAATTTTTATAACATTGTCGAATCAAAGTTTCAACTTTGCAATAATGAAAATAAAGTTATTTTTTAAAATCAACCTACTTTAAGCCGTCGGTCTTCTGGTTGCTTACTAACAAGCATTTATTGCTTTCTTAGCTGTCAGGTAAAATAACCACCACTATCATAACCACCACTATCAGTAGAAAAACATTTGGAACGACGTTAATCTACATTTTCCACTCTCCACCCAGGTGTTAAATGGATAGGATGCGAAAGTTTGCTCAGCATTGAGAGCGTCTGTAAAATGTCAGTGGAGTGGAGAATGTGCATACATTTTGTAAAGCGCGTAGAGACATTGTTGATGTATTAAGCGCTATATAAAAGCGGAATATTATTATTATTATTATTATTATTGGGACATATACTTTCAAATAGATATTTGGAACGAAGCTTTTTAAAACAGGATAAAGTTGAACTTAATTTTATAGCAGTGGGTATTTGGTTCCCTTTCTTCAAGCCAGCATCAATTTAATGAATTAAGTGAAGAAGTACGAAGTAAGTCTCACTTTGGGTTGATGAAAATGGTCTTTTCGACGAGTGGTATATGAATGGATATTTCAATTTTGAATAAACATATTACTGTACTTCACATGAAAAATGTTATGTCTGCAGAGTACATACAAATTAGAGTATTGATTGTAATCAAATGGTATAAAGGCAAGATTTGCAACTGTTTAAAGAGTGGTATACTTGGACTTTGCATTTGTGACTTTGTCATATTTTTTAGAGACCTTTTCTGTAAAATATATAATTTTTCAAATGTGATTTACAGTACTTCCCCAAATAAAGTTGCAGTAGTTTAGATGCGGTAACACAAGGCTATTAGACAGAATATATAAAACATTACTAGGCAATATACATTTCGATTTTTTAATAGAGAATTAAGATACCAATATATTTAGCAAGTTTTTAGGCATTTCCAATATATGCACATTAAAATCTAAAGACTCATTAATTGTAACTCCCCAAAATCCTACATTTTTCAAATTAGATTTAAAAGGATTATTAATAACAACAGGTAATAAATTAAAGGCACTTTCCTGTTCTTTGACCTAAATATGACATAATTTGTTTTCGTAACATTCAGAGAAAATTTATTTACGTTAAACCATAAAGAAACTTTAGGAACTTCCCTGTTTACTTATGAAACAAGCATTTATATGTTACTGTTAGTCGTAATCAGGCGCGTACGCAGGGGGGGGGGGGTGCACTTACACCCCCCCCCCCCCCCATTTTAAAACGCCCCCTTTCAAAGAATCCTACGTACGCCACTGCTCTTAAAAGCACATATGTCGTAACAAACAGGGACAACTTTAAACAAATGAAGATGACATACGTCTTTATTCGCAAAGAACGAATGAAACCTTTCAGTGTCAAAAGTAATTGGTCTGGCTTCTGACTACATACTATATATATTTATAGATAGCAATTATGGAGGTTTAATTTTCCTCCGTCCAATAACAACATGTTTACGTGTTTTGCAATGAATGACTAAGTATTGATATCGCTACGACGATCTTCCTATTCGCATAATTAGAGAATTTGCATGTGAATTAAGTGTACCGATTACTAAGATCCTTAATATATCTTTTAGACAAGGAGTTGTCCCTTCACAGTGGAGATCCGCTCATCAAGTAACTCCTATTCAAAAATCGCACCCACCTTGTATTAATAATCTGCGTCCTATAGCTTTGACTTCACATTTTTCTAAGTTAGCTGAATCTTTTATGGCTCAATGTTTATTGAAAGATATTGAGAAACTCATTGATATACATCAGTTCGGTAACAGACCAGGGTTATCTACTACACATTATCTTGTTGGCCTTTTACCCCGGCCCCCCACTCAGTGTTATTTAGGGTACGCATATGCGTGTTCCAACCGACCCCCCCCCCCCTTTTCAGCAAAAGTCCGGTGTGTAAAGTCAATACGGCTCGACCATTTTCTTTTGTATACGAGCCTTTTTCCGCACCCCCCCCCCCCCCCTTTTCAGCAAAAGTCCGGTGTGTAAAGTCAATACGGCTCGACCTTTTTCTTTTGTTACGAAAAGGACATTTTGGCAACACGCATGCGGTCATTTTGAAACCTGAGTGGGGGGGGGGGGGGGCCGGGCCTTTTACATCATCTTTATAAACATGCAGAAAACAACAGGTCTATATCAACTATTGTATCTACAGTCTTTAAAAAAGCTTTTGATCGCTTGGATCACAACATTCTAATTGAAAAAATGGTTAATATGCACATGAGACCTTGGATAATAAGTTGGATCATAAGTTTTTTAGAATGTCGTAAACAGAGTACATTATATAATGGAATTCTGTCTGATATTACATTTTGTCATGCCGGTGTTCCCCAAGGGACACGCCTTGGCCCAATTCTGTTTTCAATTATGGTTAATGATTTATGTGAAAATATTCCTATACATTACTTCAAATATGTTGATGATTTATCTTTAGTACAATGTCGTAAATCAACAGACGTTTCACAATTACAACCCATACTTAACTCTGTGCAATACTGGTCTCAATCAAACAATATGTCACTCAATCCTTTGAAGTGTTTTACCCTGCAGGTTACTTTTATGAAAAATCCTGCTCCTCCTGAAGTTCTTTCCATTAATGACTCTACTCTATGCAATGTACAAACTCTCAAAATTCTTGGAGTAATTATACAATCTGATTTAAAATGGAATTTACATGTTAATGATTTAGTCAAAAGATGCAATAGAAAACTGTACATGTTGAGGAAACTTAAGAAATTCAACTTACCTTCTAAGGATTTAGTGACAATATACGTAGGTTATATACGACCAATTTTAGAATATTGTGCTCCCGCGTTCCATAGCAGTCTTACAGTAGAACAAAATAATAATCTTGAAAAAATACAACGTAGAGTATGTAAGATTATTTTAGGGCCTAGTTACATTACCTATTCTAATGCATGTCAAGTATGCAATTTACCAACTCTTGAGGAGAGGAGACTAGCACTTTGTAGAAAATTCGCAAAATCTCTTTCAAATCACTCTATTTGTCAGACCTGGTTACCTAAGAAAAAAAACACTAATATCACTCTTCGCCGTATTCCCATTTATCAACAATTTCAATTCAAAACAAACAGATTTAAAAATAGCCCACTGTCATTTCTAGTTGACATACTCAATAAAAGTTGGAAAAAAAATTGTTTTATTTTGTACTTTTATCGTTATTGCAGGTATACTAAGTGCTTGTCTCCTCCCCTCAACAGGCTGTTTAAAATGTACCCATTTTAATCTTTTTACCATGCTTGTATTGACTTTTATAGGACATTTGTAAACAATTACAGCTGTATTTCTGGAAACTTGTGCAATGTGTTTATGGATTTTAGTTACAGAATCGAAGTCTTATTTTTGATATTGCTAGTTTTTTTTACATGTATATATCTAAAAGTGTTATCTATTGTGCCGAACATGTAAACATGAATATTCCAGCCAAGGCTGTCCTTCATGTAAAATTGTATTTGTATATGAATCATATTTCTGCTCGAATAAAAACCATTTTTTAATTGAATTGAATTGAATGTATGGTTTAGGCCTTGAACGTTGGCTCGCCGTTCGCACAGACCTTCCTTTAGCCCTAAAGGTTCAACGCGGGATCCTAGCTACGAAAGCACATGATCTTCGGAAATAACACAATCTGTCGACGAAGATAGTGGTTGTCGGTGCAAAAATTCATCTGAAATATAAAGAAAAGAACGCTACAACCTGGCAAAACCTACAAGGACT